TAACAGGAACAGGTTGCAACCAGGTTTATTGGACAGCAGATAGGTGTGAGGTGTAAAGATTCTAATCATAAACTTTAAAGGCTGAAAAAGAAATAGGCTTTTGGTGACTCAAATGTGGGTAGTAAGAGAATTTCAGTAGATAAGAGGGACATCCAGTGCTAATTAATAACAACTTTCAAAAAAGGTCTGTCAATCCAGTTCATGTTAGACACACAAGATAAAACTAGGCAGGGCCACTAAACTGGGTGGTTTCGAATTAGGATTGGAGGATTCAGCCAAGGTGTCTCTGTTCTCCTGCCTCTGCCTTAGGCCAGGTCCTTATCTTGCGTTTGGACTATTGCAACAGCCTCCTCAAAAGTATGTCTTCATTTTGCTGTCTTGGATCTTGGAATGAATCTTACCAAGTATGAAAGAATTTTCCATCTTAAAACTGCCTTAGCACTCTATGGGAGTGGGAGGTGGGTGTTGTTGGTCTTTCTCTGGCTCTCTTCTGGTCACTGCATCTGCACACTGCTCGCTGTCTAACCAGTCCTCCTAACCACCATTCTCATCAAGCACCTCCTTCGTTTACCAGTTGGCCCTCCTCATTTCTGGCCAAGATCAACCTTGAGAAAGTTGGCAGTGAGCTCAGGATTATCCGTCCTATCTGTTCCACCAAAGAGACGCCATGGAGACCACCCTCATCCAGGAGCCACAGTCTCTGGGAAATCACTGGGGGCCCAAGCCCAGGAACAGAAAGAGACAGACAAGCTTTGGCTATTGGTTGGTTGGCAGGAAGCAGGTGCAAGTACTGACCTGGACCATGTGTCCTTTGCCAAAGAAAACATACTGAGTAGAAGTTTAGACAATATCATTCAACAGAGATTTATTGAGCTCCTACTGTATGCAGGCATTGTGATAAGCTGTGGGGATCCAAAGATAAATAAGGCATGGTCCTGTCTTTAAAGAACTTGCAGTCTGCTGGGGAATTTCAACTTCGCTAATCTCATTGGACACTGGACTTTTGAGAAAAGATAGTACTGGGTTGCATTGTCTGAGAGACTTGGGATTTGTCTCTGATCTCCAGGCTATAAGTAACCTGTTTCATTGTTAACCTCATAATAATTTTGAATGTGTACATGTGTTGGGACATAGGTATAAACAGCAAATGTAAATTTAGTGTTTAAATTTAAATCAGGTGTCTTAATGGTTTCATACACCTGAAGCAAACAAATAGTCAGCTTCTTATATGTTTATTGCTTATATGAATACTCCAGGCTAGGGATTCATTTGATTTTGCAAATTTTATATATATTTCCATTCCATATTTTATCTATCCATTTTTTCTAAGCCATTCGGTATGGAACATTTCATGAATAGAACAGAATTGGGTGATTCAGACACCTGGCCCCGTGGGGATTTTGATATATTGAAGAATGGTTCCCACAGTCTACACCCTGGAAGGGAATGGAATGTGGCCTGTGTTTGGTTTTAGAATAAGTCTCAGAATTGCCTGCCTTCCAAATCCTTCTTGGGGTAATGGACAAGAACCGTCTTGGAAGTCAGAAGATAGGAGTTCTAGCCTCAGCTCTGTTACCTGGGTGGTCATCAACACTTAACCATTGTGGTCTCAGTTTTCTATAGGGTGAGGATAATATTTGATTCAAGGGGCCTGCTATGAGGAGCAGCTGTGATAATGTGTCACCTGTCCTCTCTCAGCCTCATTCCTGTCAAATGAAGGGATTTGGATGAGATTACTTCTGGGCCATAAATTCCTGAAATCTTGTTTATATCTTTAAAATTGGTATTTCCCAAAACATGGTTCACAACAGAATTTTAGGTATGGGAAAGAACATTCCTTAGTTTAATAGTTATGGCAGACAAGGCAGAGTTCACAAGAGGGCCAGCACTGCTCAGGTTATGTGCCAGAGGCCTGCAGTTGGATTTACTTGGCCTCACAAACCTCAGCCGCCTGTCAAGACTCTACCCCACAGCCTTCCATAATTATCAAAGTAAGTGGGAAAATGAATGGTTAGTTTTATGATAACAATCGGGGGGGCGCTAGATATAGGAAGAGGAGGCAATAAAAGTTTAATTCCATAGCAACAACTTGGTGCCCACCCATCTCCCCACTGGGATTCAGACCTGTAGACTCATTCAGCATGGCAGCTTCTGGAGGAATCCTATAGAAGATCCCTCAGCTAAGGGGAGAGAGCTGAGTCTGGTACTGCCGTGTAGGCCTCATGCCCCTGAGGTCCATTGCAGTGTAAGGAGGGAACAGGCAGAAGCTTTAACCTTTGTGGCTGACTCATTGGCTCAGAGGCAGTGCGGTAGCAAGAGTAGTAGGCTGAAGTATCTGTGGTGTGACATGCCAGTATAACCAGCATCCCAAACACACTGGGTGAACAGGGAACAAAAAAACAAAATGACAAAGATTGAGGCAAGGCTGGCCAGGAGCCTTCCCGTTGGTGCCATCTGTAAATCTTCTCATAAGAAAAGAATGTAATAGGATCAGCCCAGTGGCACAGTGGTTAAGTTTGCATGTTCCACTTTGGCAGCCCAGGGTTTGCCAGTTCAGATCCTGGATGCGGACATGGCACCACTTGGCAAGCCATGCTGTCGCAGGTTTCCAACATATAAAGTAGAGGAAGATGGGCATGGATGTTAGCTCAGGGCCAGGCTTCCTCAGCAAAAAGAGAAGGATTGGCAGTGGATGTTAGCTCAGGGCTAATCTTCCTCAAAAAAAATATATATATATAAGGATGTAATAATGGAAGGCCCAAGTGGAAGAGGAGACATTTGGCATGCTCATCCTTCAAGATCCATCTCACAGAGCTGCTTTTGTTAAAAACAGAAAAACAGATGTTCACAATGTTCTCAAAACAGAACAGAAATTATTACTGTTTTAAAGAGGATGGTGGATGGGTGGGGAAAGAAGGACAAAGAACCTTAACTCCGGAGATAAAAGTACTCGGTGACAGCAAAATGCTCACATTTACTCTGATGGGAAAGAGGCAGATGGGCATTGAAGGGGAAAACCATCTAGAAAAGAGAGAAATAAAGCATGTGGGGAGAAAACAAAGAATGTCTGAAAATTGTGTTTAAAGTGAAATGATATGCAGTGATTGGAAAATAAAGAATGAATGAATGTATGAATGTGTTGAATTTGGTACAAAATGTCATTATCTTCCATTATTAAAATTCACATAAAGATGAGTTGAGAGAAAAAAAGTGACAATGTTTAGTACAATCTAAAATATCATAAATGTAGCCATATCGTCAGGTCAAGAAGCTGTCAAGGTTAATAATGTATTATTTAGGGTAAAAGCTAAGCTGCTGTAGCAGGGACCCTAAATACAATGGCTTAAAGCATGTACAAGTTTGTTTCTCTTTCCACGTGGCATGAGATGAGCAGGCCATGTCACTGGGGCAAATCTGTCAAACAGGAACCCAGATTCCTTCTAAGCTGGAGCTGCTCCATCCCTCAGATTTATCAACTGACTATTAGTGATACCTGCTGTTTTTCTCTTAAAGACTTCTTGTTTAGTTCAATAGACTCAGGAAGGGTTAGGGGAAAATTGTTAATTTCAACACACTTCTGCCAATATCTTTTTAAAAATAAAATGCTTTCATATTATCATATGCTTTAATTATATTTTCATCAAAACATTGTAGCTGATTTAGATAACTGAAAAAATGGAAAATGTCCCCTATATAGCCTAAATACCAAAGTAAGGCTAAATGATTGATTAAATCAGCCTGCCTTACTGTTGTAAAAAATAATAAAATAAAATCCGACTTCATTTTTCAATTCAAATAAACTGTTAACACATTTTGAGGAACAGTATAAAAACCACTGAGAGATAAATAATGCAACAAGTCTTGTAAAACCAGTTAAGTCAAGATTAAAATGCTGTTATGCTGATATAATTAAAATTTTCATTATGTAAATTTTTCTCATTTATGCAATGTAATATGTAGCTACATTTTTAAGTTATTCATGAAGCAAGGGGGATGCTAAAAGGACTCGTATTCCTTTGGTAACTGTGTGCATGTATGTACTGAGCTCTGGTGTTTGGGAATAATTAAATAAATCATGTATAAAATTAAGAAATAATTCCATTAATTTTGTTAGACATACTGATCAAACTTTTTCAAAGTATTGAATGGAAGAGTAAAGTACAGACTGATAAAAATTAATTGGTCTGGTATCTAATATAAATTTTATTTTTTTTGCTAACATGAAACAGTATATACTAAATATTTTGTAAAATGAAATAAGTGCAGGATTGTAACTGGAATATTTTATATGCTTGGATAAATATGTTTTAAATACCTCATTGTATAATACACACCAAATCTAAAAGAAATCGTGAAAAATTACACAGGTTTTTAACTGGTGAAACCTGAAAATTGTGGCCGTCTTGGGAAGCATTCCTGTTCCTGGCCTGTGCTGCTTCCATTGTCCAGTTGACAAATAAAAATGGCAAGCAATAGGATATATTGGAGAATATGAGGAAGCCATTTGGTATAAACCTAATTCGGCCTGACCTTGTCTTTCCAAAAGGGCCTGACTGTGGCCATTGAGCATGCATTGTATATCTGCTTTACATTTTCCCTATGGCAAGAACAAAGGCCCTTGAGGTAAAGGTGCAACCTCCCTCCCCCTCCCAACGTTGGCGTCTCCTTAAGGATTAAGCCTCTTTCCTTAGGCTAGAAACTGATTGCTGTGCTCACCTGTGACCGCCCAGCTCGAGACAATAGACTTACCTCCTGCTATGCCCACCAAGATAGCAGACCCACTACCTGCTGTGTCCATCAAGTGCTGTGCCGACAGGGCAATCTTGTGACTACTGTGGGAGGGACATTCCAATCATATGTGAAACACCCTGTTTGGGAGTATATAACCACTCTGTGCACCCCACTTCTTCGGTGCCCTTTCTTCCTTTGGGAAGAAAGGGCCCGGGCCATGGTCCTCAGATTTCAGCTCAGAATAAACTCACCCAAATTTTCATTTACAGATTGGTTACGGATTATTTTCATCGACACAGTGGTGTTTTTCTCACCAGCTAACTTCTAAGGATTATTCTTGAGAAGGGTTGAAAAGAATTGCTTATGTTTAAATACATGAGCAAAAAAAGCCATTTAGATGGTTATTTCTTATTGTTGCTCTGATTATCCATCACTGATCTCCCTCGTGAGCGGTCATTCTTCTGATGATAACTGAGGAATGGAAAAGGTGAGGTCAGTAAATGCAAACTGGCACCGCTGCCACGTCCAGCACTTTCTAACACACATATCGGATTTCAGAAGGTCCCATTCCTAATGCCACAATTCACCTTTAGCAGAACAATGAATAAGACAGGAAAAGGTAGAAAGGTTTAGGATGGGAGCATGGTGTCTTGATTAAGCACCTCGATAAGGGATTCCCCAAAATAATATTTCAAATTTCCCCTTTGTTTGGAGCCCTGGGGACTTTTACGCCCTACGCCAATGCACCTAAGTAAGGTTTAGAAATGGGTGAGGGGTGTGCCTTGCTTTGGAAGAGTGGGCGGGGTGTTTATATAAGCACAAGGCTTGGACAAGCACTAGCAGGGGAGGCCCACCAGCACCACACAAACCTGGGGCACTGTGAGATGCCTAAAGCAGGAGCAGGACTAAGCTCCAAGTAGAGGAGATGGAGCCTGTGCAGGTTGGGCTGGGCTAGGGAAGGCCTCACCAAGGAGGAAACAGACCTGGAAGGGTGACTGGATTTGTCCCCACTGCACAAGGGCAAAGAACCTTGCCAACATCTGAAACATTTGCAACAAGTGGAAGGAAGGGTGACATTTTAGAAGTAACACTGCTCAGGGAAGAATGGATATGAGGTGCATGTGGGAATAGTGGCCACAGAGAAGGCTGGCTCCCTAAGGGCACTCATTTACATTAAGGCATTGATTTCCTTCCATTTATTTACATATCATTAGCGACAGTCACAAAGGAAAGAACAGAGTCCTGAGGCACAGAAAGATTGTCTTGATTGCCTATGGGGAAAGATTAAGGCAAATGGCTGTCTCCCACCTCCACCACTAGCAAATATTCTCATCTGAGTGATCTAGGGTGGGGTCCAGGCATCAGGAATTTTAAAAAGCCTCCTTGGTGAATCTAATGTGAATCTGGAGTTGAGACTCAGGAGTGGAACATGTTGGGGAAAACCAGGTCGGGGGAGGAAGTGTTCCTGGCAGTGCTATGTTGAGAGGCCCTTTGAATTCCAGGGCAGGACCTGGGGCATTAAGTATGCAACTCAGGGGGAAGGTCATGCAACTGATGAGGGCTGCCATACTTGGTTTTGGCCATTGGTCACCTAGGTAATTTCAAAATTATGCAATTAAATGCTGACCATAATACCATTTTATTGCTCATCCTGGTATTCAAAAGGTCTCTTTTCCCCCTTACAATTACTATTTATATAGCTAATCTTTCTCTACCTCTGGTAGCTTGTCTTGAAAAGACACTTCATGACTTTATCCATATTATCTGCCACTGTAGTTTCCCAGGAGCTCACAGCCATGCAAGAGGATTTGAAAGTGTGCCTTGCTGGACACCCAAGCATTTCTTCTGCCCATCTGTTTTACCAACGAGGAAGTCTGCACTGCTGTGGAGACAACTTCATCAAGACTTGAAAGCCCTGGGGAATCCTTGGGTAGGGATTCTCATTGACAAATCACAACCACCGCCAGCTCCCAGCTTAAAAAGAATGATGGTCTGTCAGTTGCTTAATTATTGAGTTATTCATTAATGAATCCAAAAGGGAAAAAAACTGTCTCTGTCTCTGGTGACTCCATCTGAAATATGAAAATGCCTCAGACAGGACAGTATACCCATTGCGGAGGCTCCTGGGTATTTGAGAATCTCAAGAGCACGGTTGGGCACACTCAGTACCTTCTTGTTGAGCAATCCAGGGAAACTGGGTGAATTTTTGTCAGTTTGGTAACAATTAGCAACTTCTTCTTACGAGTTTCTGACTTTGTATCATTTAAATTGGTTTCCGTTCACTTAAGGGTTGTAAAGAGCTCATCTGCAGCTTACTTCATGAACATCCAGGAATCAGGTAGACAGCAGGAAAGAACACCAAGCCAAAGGTCTGCATCTGAAACTAAGTCACTGCCAAGCATTTCTGTGTTGCCAACCAGATGGCGCAGGAGCCTGGCCATTCATACTGTCCTGCTATTAACCTTTCCAGTAAGAGCTTCTCTAATTATTCTAGACTTGTGATTACTACTGACCCTTTCCTTTATCTCCAATCCAGGGGTTTTCAACTGAGGGTTAGGTGACTCCTCCATGGAGCTTTTTAAAAAAATACAAATGTCCAAGTCCTTTTGTTTTTTCAATTATTTTATTGAGGTCTTGTTGGTTTATAACATTGTGTAGTTTCAGGTGTACATTATTACTTATCAGTTTCTGTAGAGACTGCATCGTGCTCACCACCATTAGTCTAATTTTCATCCGTCACCATATATACGTGCCCCTTTATCCCTTATGTCCACTCCCCCACCCCTTCCCCTCGGGTAACCACTATTCACTTCATCCATGTGTTTATCTTCCACATATGAGTGAAATCAGGCAGTGTTTGTCTTTCTCTGTCCGGCATAAAGATGTCAAGGTCTTAACCCAGACCTTCACAACTTGAAACTCTGGCCTTAGGGCTGGTTATGCATACATTTTGAAAACACTTACTGGGGATTCTGATTCCTTCCTAATCCATTTAGTTTCCTGATCCATTCATCTCTCACTTCTAATTGGGTCCACCTGAGTTCTCCATCTCACATTTACCCTCCACCCAACAAGCCAGTCTTTAATTCTTTAAGGGAGGCAAATAATAACTCAAATGAGAGTTTTTACATATGATGGAAATTTTCAGTGAGGAAGTTTGTGGTTAACCAAATAAACTGGTTATCCTTTGAAAGAGGAAAAAACAGGCATTCTTCTTCTTTTACAAATTAATTTTAATTGATAATTCAGCTTCAGAAATAAAAATAACTTCTAAAATGAGAGTATAAATATGTTTATTAAGTATTTTTCAGGGTTTATTTCCTTTCTTCATTTATTAGCAGATAGCACTGATCCATTCTCTTGCCTGAATGTTACAAAGAAATTAAAATTTTAGGTAGATGAGCTAACTATACCCATCCTAAAACACCACAGTTCCCCCGAGTAGCCTCAAAGGCAGAATAACTTCCCAGTTTTTCCTTAATGTTTATGGCTGGAATATAGCACCTACTTGAAATAAAATAAGGAGTCAGAGTTCATCTAAACATCACCCCAAAAGCGTTTGGCATTAAGCTCAAGGAATCAGATATTTCAGGAATTTGCAAACTACCGACTACTTAATAACATGAAGGAAATTAAATAAAATTTATAAAGGTTGACGGTTCTAAATGGGCCAATGTAGTAAAAGTATTAAGTTACCAGACAGTTGTGAATGGAAAATATCACATTTCCAGCTGTTGGTGGAAAGCTATAAAAATCTGAAGCAACAGACCATAGGTAATAGGCACATTACTACTTTTCTACTAACACTTATGTGCTGTTTGCAGCTGTTTTTGTTTGCTTATAATTCATTTCCTGATCCTTAAGGACTCAGATATAAAACAATTCCTGCTTTATTCTCTACAAGCTGTCAACAAGATGGAAAAACAGAGGGGGGAGTTACCATAGACGGTAGCACAAGCTGAAAAGTGAATGGACATTGCTGAGATCAAGACGAGGCTGGGAGCTCATGTGGTGCCCTCTGTAATGGGGCTTCAGATGCAACGAGCCAGACTGAGAACTCGTTAGGATGCACCATCCCACCAAAGCCAATGAACACACACTATGTGCTAGCAAAAACATCTAGTAACTCCTACCACCCAAAATGAATTCACCCCAAAATACATGAAGGTTCTGCAGTGAAGGAAGTTACCTCTACTGTTGTTGAGAATTAGGCCATTCCTATAAACTCCTTCTCCTTACCAGGTCATAAAACTAAAGGCAGAAAGGAGAAGGTCTGCCTGGAGAGCTGTAAGGGCACTGGTTTCTGACTTGTCCCCTGCTAGGAACTATTACTACAGACAATTGTTTATTTAAAAACAGAGCACTTCTCTCTGGTCATCTCTTGAGAACCTGTACTAACAATCTCTAGAAAAAGCCCAGGAGCCTCGAATCAATAAATAATCCTAAAAAACTCATTTTACCTAGTGCATTCATCTTCCTCTCTGGCAACTACACTGATTTCTGTGTTTCCTGAGGTCCCTACTTTGGAGGATAAGTAAGGCAGTGAAACCCACTAACTGGACTACGTAGTCCGAAATAATGAAGAGCTGACTATAATCTCTATTTTAAAATTTTTAAGTACTACAGATCTTTTGGGCAGTCTGTTTCTAGTCGCCGGAAGTTCCACCTCACACTATTCCATTCAACTAAAGAGACGACAGTACTATTTATACTTAAATAAAGCTAATCTTTGGATAGGCAACAAAGTAAAACACTAATATCCCAAATATATTCCCCTAGGGATAATCGCATAAGCATATTAGATATGAAGAATATTTTTTAAAATATCAAACATTTACCAAATTTTTCATTTTCTTCCCCCTGGTCTCAAATTTTGGGTATTTTGGAATTTCCCATTTTTTACTTTGCTTCCATCCCCAGATCCTCCTAATTTCATAGTACTCAAGTAATTTGCTTTGTTTTATCAAAGAACAAACAAAAAATCTGATATCTCCTTGTATGTAGCTAAAAATTCAGAAATAAAGTAACCTATTCATGAAGCACACTATGTCATACACTGTAGAAATTTAGTTTCAGCCATGTTACATTGCCGCAATTACTGAGCTACAAAAAATTTTCTCTCTCTCTTAACTTAATAAAGCTTGTCAAAGTTTCCAAGAAACAACCTGTGACTTCAGCTTTTATTGCGTTCTGATGGGATCAACGATTACAGAAGCTCAGCATCACAGATCGCTCTCTCCGTACAGCGCGGAGGAGAACGCCGTGTAATCCAGGGCGCCAGGCACGCTGCCCGGGCCCGAGTAGGCGGGCATCCTCTTGATGCAGTACTGGGCCTGGTCTGGGGGCAGCTCTCGACGCAGCTCCTCCGCGAGGATGTACGGCTGAAAAAAATACACAAGTGTTTACAAAGTCAATCACAGAACACTGGAATAGAAATGGTTTTAATACTTACATATTGCTTGCGTTTGTTTAATTGAAAAAAGGATTAAAGGCAGGGAGTCTAATGGGCACAGTACTAGACAACCAACGAAAGGCTGAATTTTACTCGTAAGAGCGTATCTGCAAAGTGATTCATCTTTTGGCCCACAGGGTACTTAATATGCTTTAAAAAGGCAAAGAGAGCAATATCATCAATATTTCTCAGATTGAGCCATAATGCAAGTGACAAATACTGTGATCTGAATTTCATACCAGAAAGATAAAGATATGGTTTACATCATACACTGATGAGAACATAGGGATATTTAACTTAACATAATCAATGTTTTTTCTTTTTTTAATGTATGTGGTATGTTCTTTTAGAAAATGGAGGGGCCGGCCCTGTGGCTAAAGTTCTGTGTGCTCTGCTTCGGTGGCCTGGGGTTTGCAGGTTCGGATCCCAGGTGCGGACCTACTCCACTCATCTGCCACGCTCTGGAGGAGTCCCACATACAAAGTAGAGGAAGACTGGCACAGATGTTAGCTCAGGGCTTATCTTCCTCAAGAAAAAAGAGGAGAACTGGCAACAGATGTTAGCTCAGGGTGAATCTTCCTCACAAAAAAAAAAAAAAGAAAATGGAGCCATTTTCCTAATGAGTTTATTAAAAAACCAGAAACATGCTGCCACTAGAGAAAACCTCTTCTAAAACAAAATAAAACAGATGCTTAACAATGTCTTTTTTTTTTAAATATCAAATGTCCAACAGGAAATAGGATAATTCTGGTGAAACAGACTGGCTGGTAAGAGTCAAAATAAATAAATAGCAAATATCATATTGTCCTTCACAGTAGGGTTTTTTGCAGGGCTTAGATGAGCCGGGTTTACGACCTCCTACATCAGATGGGCTCTCTCCCCTGCACCCGCATCCCCATGATAAAAGATTCATGTTAAAACAGACTTCTTATTGTTTCTAAGATACTTTATCTTGTCGGATATTTTAATGTAATAAACATGGCCCTGCTGATGTGTTTTAGCAGATGGGGTTTGTGCTAAACCTTTTCCCTCTCAGCTAGAACATGGGGTAAAAGAATCATGTCCGAAATTGAATTTATAGATACTGAGACATTTTTATTGTTTGGGGAATGCAATTCAAAAATTCTGAACTTGCAATTAAACTCCTACTTAATTTCTAGGCTACATGTAATGAAAAGCTTGCCAATTTTTGGAATGACTGAATGGCTATATTTAACTTTGCTCCAGTCTGGGCGCAACGTCAAGGTCATTGAACCTAGAGAAGGTTCCAAGTTCCACAATATCTGAAGTGCATGGTTTCTTCTTTCTGAGTCCTATCTACCAAACCAGAATGTAAAATGGGGTTGAACGAGTAGAACGCACAAAAAATTCTAAAAATACATACTCTTGGTTCCTTCTATAAAACTCACTGTGAGGCCCAAGCACAAATGCCAGGAACAGAACGCCTGTGTTTTCTCTGTTCTGGGTACACTGTTGTTATGTTTACATGCTGCTTTCTGAATTCAATGCTGATGTGGTGCAAAATGCACTAGTATCAAAATGGTTTTTACTTGCAACACTTTCTTCTTTTATTTGAATAATGCAGTGGACTATTGCAAAAGCAGAGGAAAACCTGTCAGTACAGACCTTATCAGAAGCCAGGATTCGGAAGGAGGCGATGACCTGCTCGGCGGTGTCAGTGTCGGCCGTCTCTCTAGTCATGAAGTCAATGAAGGATTGGAAGGTGACCGTGCCCTGTCCGTTGGGATCCACCAGGGTCATGATGCGGGCAAATTCGGCTTCACCCTGAGGCGAAGAAACATTTACTGCAACGGTACACAACTCTCAACAGGGCCATTCTGCTTTTACCTATTGACATACAAGTTCCTCTTTGAAATAAATATTCCCTGTGTTTCCCCTCAATTTTGGGCAGATCTCCTTATGGGTGACTTGTTTACTGCCACTGAATGACCTTAAAAGTTCCCAGAAGCTCCTAAATGTCAGAATTCCTTCCTATGACCCATGTTGCCTTCAGGCCTTATCATAATTATGGAAGAGGAATTCAAAGAGAGAGAGTTGGGCCTTTTCTCAGACTACAACTGAGAACAGTAACATTGCTAAAGAGAAGGCAGTTCAGAAAATGGTGCTGGTGATTTTTATTTCAAAGGTCCGGGAGGAATCAAAGCACCTGTTCAAAATACACATTAAGGGGTAACAGAGAAGGGAGGGCATACGGGTACTCTCACAGCCCACAGGGAAATCTAAGATTTTCTTCGCTGATTTATTACTAAAACTTTTTTATATTCTAAAATCTTAGAGGAAAAAGAACTTTAAAAATCCTCAGGTTGGGGGCGGCCCAGTGGTGCAGTGGTTAAGTGCGCACGTTCCACTTCGGTGGCCCAGGGTTTGCTGGTTCGGATCCCGGGTGCAGACATGGCACCGCTTGGCACGCCATGCCGTGGTAGGCGTCCCACATATAAAGTAGAGGAAGATGGGCACGGATGTTAGCTCAGGGCCAGCCTTCCTTAGCAAAAAGAGGAGGATTGGCAGCAGTTAGCTCAGGGCTAATCTTCCTCAAAAAAAAAAAAAATCCTCAGGATACTAAAAGGCATTGAAGTGTACATTTTAAATGAGTGAAGTGTATGGTATGTGAATTCTATTTCAATAGAGCTGTTAAAAAATCATCAGGAACGTTTATGTTCTCACCCTTCATTAGAAAAAATCTGATCAGTTACTGAATAAAAATATATGTTCTGGCTCTGTGAAATTCTTTTTATATAGTAGCAGGCAAAGTTTCAAAAATATTATCCTATATAATGAAAATGAACCAATCTCAAATGGGCCACCATACTTTAAGCCAGCCATCTCCCATAATATAAATCCAAACTCAATAAAATATCAGATCTTAGTAGAATTTTAACCTCTGTCTTACCAAATCATAGCCCATGGAAATCAAGCAGGCTCTGAAATCCTCGTGGTCCATCAGGCCATTCTTCCTCTGCCGCCAAAGAGAAAGAACAGAGAAGGCACAAATTAGAGGCGAAATAAGCAACTCCACTCGACCAAGTGAACAAGATCTAAGAAGAGAAAAGGCCACTTTGAGCTCTGCCAAGGAGATTATAAAGGTCACCACTGACTTATAGGAAGGACGGAGCCAACAGAGGGATGTTACAAAATAATTTCTTAAAAAAGAAAAAGGTGGAAGGGACGGTAAACATCAGACAAAAATGAAAGGAGACCACACATTCAAGAAAGCAGCAGAAGGAACTACCTGGAGTCATCGAAAATGACCTAGTCAGGAGCTAACTACTGCCACCACTGATGACAGAGCATGTTGTAAGTGTTCTGAGAAATTATGATGCTCTCATGGCCCTGGGGAGTCTGCATTTGTAAAACTCCCCCAAAGACTACAGCATTCCTAGAACTCCAACAACTGGAACGTCACCCTACAACCACTCTCGAGCCCTCGGCCAGAATAGAGTGGCCCCTCCGGGTAGCAAGCTCAGCCTCCCCTGAAAATCCACTGAGGATCTACACAGAGCAGTGTGCAAGAAGCCGCAAGTGGACAACAGCTTTCACAGCTGAGGAAAGGCCAGGGCAGGACAAGGAGCGACCCAAACTCTACTGAAACAGAGGTTTCAATGCCAAGCCCTGGATGTGACAGGAAGTGCACGGCTGTGCTGAAGATTTTCTTGAGGGTTTTGAGAGGACAGCTAGGCTTCAAGCATCAATATCAATTTAAAGGTAAGAATTCACTTTTTTTATTGGCCAAGCTAAGTATTAAATAGAAGGTTAATTTTCTCCTGTTTTCATTAGCCCATGAAAGGGCCAGTCCCAAAAGTTAACATCAGAAGTTCTTTTTTCTATGAAGCGAAACTGTGTGTGTCTGTACTCACACCTGTGTGCTGAGCCCTCAGTCACCACCCCCGCCCTCACAGCCACAGTCTCGAAAGCCATCCTTCCCACTCTTTCTTCTTCACTGACTTCTCTTAGAGTTCCTTCTCCGGCTCTTCTGCCGCCTTTAAATGTAGCTGATTCCCTACGATAGGGGCCCCTCTCTCTTCTACTCTCCAGACTCTCTCTTCCCAGAAAAGACCATTATGTGGTGACTTCCACAAGTTTCAGCCCTAAACTCGAGACCTGGATTCCCAGCTGCCCAGGGGACCTCTCCGCCGCCAAGGCTCGTCCACTTCAACAGCACTCCTTCTCGCGTGTTCTCAAGGCTTGGAATCGCCATGTCACTTTTAATCTTTCCCTCTCCCTTAGCCCCCAGATGCTGTTGTTAAGTGCCGTCAGATTTCTGTCTCAATTAATCCCAGCTCTGTCCTCTTTTCTTCACTCCCACACTCCTATCCCTCAGCCCAGGGGTTCACGTTCCTCCTCCTTCTCCAAGAGGCTCCAGTCTGACCCTCCACTCACTTTCTCTCCTCTCCCCCAACCCTGCAGTCCATCACACTCATGGCTGCCAGGCACATCTTTCTGAAGCCAGCTCCGATCCTCTTACACCGATGCTCTAAAGCTTCAGTAAGAATCCCTCAGATCACATCCTCTGTGCCCCCTGCCATTCCTGTCTTTGCTATTTAATAGAACACGAAGCGAAATGGATCTGCATCCTTGACACCTCTCCTTACTACTCTGAGCAAACTTCGTTTCCCCCCAAGACGTATAATCCTTAATATTTAATTCAAGCAAACTTTTAAACTTGGCAGGCTCTGCACTGCCCTCCTTTGGACTTTTGTTGCAAAAGACAGTCTCATGATCTTGGATTCAAATAAATGTGCTTTTTTTCCTTTGAAGTGGCCCAAATGAGTGAGAGATGACCTCCAACAAGCCCAGATGGATTTGTACAAGACAATGATCAATTATTTTCCTCCACGGGAGAAAAATGACTTGAACTTCAATGAATGAAGTCAGGTCAGTATTATAGCATGTTTCTGCGCAATAAAGTTGGCTGAAACTATGCTAACTTCAATATCCATCTCTGTGTTTAATTCTTTACTTATATTTGAGCTCCCTGATCAGAAGTCCACTGTCTGAACTCTTTAATAGGCCCAAATCTGGCTGGCCTAGCCCAGTGGCATTTAAAGAACCATTTATTGATATTTGTAAGTTATAAACAGGCTGCTGTTCAAAGTAATGGAATATCCTTTTATAGGGATCTTTAACAAATGGAACATCGCCTTAAAATTCACTTTTGGCCATATGATAAGCAAACTGGGAATTTTCTTATAAAGAATTGGTTTTACTCAATATTATTCAAATCAAAATACTAGATAATATTTTAAAAGCAGCACTTAACTTTTTATATGCCTTTACTATGAAACATTTTCATAGTGGTGCATTTTTCTTAAAACATTCCATGAGTCTATTTTATCAATTAAAAAAGAAAATTAAGTTTTATATGTTGAAAGAGTAAGTTAAATTTTCATCAGGAGCTTTACCTAAACAGTTACTTAGGAAAAGTACATCAGAGTTTTGTATCTTAGTCTTTAGAAAATGATCTAAATCCAACAACCACGTTTTGCTAAGGAAACATTTTTACTTAGAACAAATCTAGCTTTGCTATCAACTACAAAGGCAGTCATTAAGTGATCTGCATAAAACAGCACACAATCCTAGGCTTCGTGTCACCTTGAGCAACAGGAGAGCTTGGCACACTTCACTTTGGTGGCTAATTCCCTTTGGCATTAATCATCCTCTTTACCTGTAACCTTTATAGGTCATCAAGACTTAAACTAATAGCATGGATATTATTTCAAATACATTTTTTAATGTCCCCAGTATTGCTTTTCAAATAACTAGAGGGAGTGCGGTACCCTGTCAAAGTGGTTGAAGGAGGCTCTGAACTCATTCATCTGCTCCTGGGTGATGCCCTTTGCATCCCTCGTCAGGATCTGGGTCTCCACTTCATTGATGGTTCTGGCGATGGTTGTCAGCAGCAACTCCCACCCCACACGAATGTGCTACCGAGGAGAAAATGAAATGATCAGCTCTAGGTTTTTTCAGCATGTCAATCTTGCCTCCTCATTTTCATAACAGGAGAGCCAACCCAAAGGGAGATAAATAGGGCTTACTATAGACTTCCCTATCCTTTTTTATTCTACTTTTCCACTTTTGTAAGATTCTGTCATGGGAAGTACTCAGAAGTGAGACAGGGTTCTAACAGTGACAACTGGCACCCTGTAAATAAAATATACAATGTAGACTCTATTTGTCACTAGAAGTATCTTTCCATTTACCAAGTAGCGGGATGGGCCCCTGGATTATGCCCGCTGGCTCCCAGGGAGATCAAATTGGGCCAAACTGGTAGAAATGTAACAGTCTAATTTCTGGTGCTCTCTCTGAAGCAGTGCAACGAATTCACTGCCATGATAATAACGCTGCTGCTGACTAACAATTATATAGTGCTCAATATAATTCCAGTGCTTTTTCACATATAGTGACAGGAAAGGCTTAAAGATCCATAACTTTCATACTTGTAGATCTTAATAATAACAAACAGAGACAAGTGTGGGAAGATAACCCCCTAAGAAGGTGAAACGGTCACAATTAGAAAGAGCAGCACCCAGGCCTGTCTGGCTGCCGTACCTCCATGGTGTAATTAGTGTGCTTGTTGTCAAAGACCAGGGCCTCCTGGATGAGCTGATGATCGCCCTCCAGCTTGTCGATGTTGTTCTTGTAGTTAATGATGTTGTGCTCATACTGCTTCAGCTGATTCATCTGGTCTTCCAGGGCTCCTGTGATCTGGATGGAGCTCCGGGCAATTTCCTGATAGAGGTAAGAACAGGGCAAGAAAACACGGTGAGTCGGCCTCTAAGGTTAACTGTGGAGTCATCCCTCCCAATCCTGTGTCAGATGCTATGCCAGCATTAGGCAGCAGCCAACAGCACTTGATTTTCTCAGATGAAGTGGGAAACAGGCAGTACCACCGAATGAAACCAGCTCTGGTTCTAGTCCATCTAGAGGATGGAAAAGAAAATCAACCAAGATCCAAAACAGTAAAGCAAGAGGGGTAAGAAATGAGTCAACTCAGCCTTCTGCCAGTGAAGGTGGAAGGCTCCCTCAGCTGGAGCTGCCCTGTTCGGGGGAAGGCTGGGGATGTGCTGGACAAGTGGGCTGCCGGGCAGATTTAAGACCACTGGGGTCAAAAGAATTTATTATATTTTTAGATGTTCTCCCCTTTAAAGAAAAGTTAACATTTTAGCACCAAAAGGAAGGTTGGGAGAAAAGTAAGTGGGCCAATGAATGTCTCTTGGCTGTTCTTGGTGATAAAATGAACCCAGAAATCGGTGTCAATCAAAGATCACTTTTCCTGAAATGCTCTGAAGATCCAAAGTTTTGTGATACTTCACAAGTCCTCTTTAGGGATGGATGGTTTAAAGTCCAGGTCCTGTAGAGGCTAGAAACTGAGAAAGAGGCCATTGTCATTGTTAACGACAAAATAAACAGATGGCAGCAAGAACAGCCTCAAAGAGTGAAGCCCAGAGTGACACGGACTGGTGTTCTCCCAGCGCTGAGTGGAGCGACCAGAAGGCAGAGAAGAGGCGTGGAGTTGTGTCAGCTCAGGGTCTAACTTCAAGCTTGTGAAAAGCTCTCTGAAGAGTGCCAACCTACCTCCATCTTGTTCTGGATCCAGGGCCCGACGGCATTGGCCTGTGCGGCAAACTGGCGCCGCAGGCGCTCATTGGCATGCTGGCGGGCCAGCTCCTCCTGCAGGGACTGATCCCGGATGGGCACGAGCTGCTTCACCTGTTGGGGCCCAAGGGCAACAGGAGTTAGAGGCCAGCTCTGGTCCAGATAGGAGTGACCAAAAGATAACATAATAGTCGAAAGGACGGGGGTGAGAATGGAGGGGCAGAGGGAAGGGAGGCAGGGGAAGTCGAGGGAGGGGAAGAGGAGGTAGGGAGAGGAAAGGGAGTGGGAGACCCTACTCTAGGGACCAAAGGGAGAGCTCATTCTAGCCTTGACTGCCACCCAGTGCCACCGAGTGCCTGCTGGGAGACGAAGTCCGCATTAGGGACTCTGACTGTTCCTCCAGCAAGGGACTCTTGGCTGAGCACTAACGCCATGGAGGCCCAGAGTGCAGAGGATTTGTGAACTTTAATGAAGGAAAATGATATCTTTATTTTCACTATCTCTAATTGAAAGTTAGCATTTCCTTCAATTATGAATGTGGGGAGCAAATCCACAGTAGTATTTAGCAGTACTGTGACTCACAATAGAAACCACAGACATTCTCATATAACATTAGTTACTGCCTGCCTCTCGAAATAGCATGTACACTCACCACGATTATTCCAAAATTATTAGACCTGCGGTTACATCTTGGTTTTAAATGTGTTAGTAAAGAAGCATATACATTATTATAGCCCAATTTAAAAAAATATTTTAATAATTATATTTAACATAATTTGTTTCCTTTGTAACTTTAAGGATTTGTTATGAGTTTACAAATATTATTATCAGAAGGGATCCACTGGCTTCCTCAGACTGCCAGTGGGTCCAAGACACAAAAAAGTGAAGAACCCCGGCGAGGCTCATGCGCTCAGTCTCCATGTACTGTTGGCCCACAGGGACATACTGCGCCTGGCCTACATGTTTCCCAGTACCCTGTAACTGACACTTTACCGCCATGCCTCAGTTCTCTTTGAATCAACACACAAAAGAGCTACTTCAGAAGTCTTTTCTGTGTCTTCTGCAAAACTGCTGCTAAAGACATTATTATTCAATGTTCCTTTTATAGAAATCCACCTGGCCAGTTTGCCTTATAGCTTGTGTTTGGAGAAAAGTTTGTCTCACTTTAAGAAATGATGTATTTCCCTTTTTTCCCCAAGGAAATCACTTACCTCAATGTGTTTCCCTTTTCCCTTCGGCCATCAGAAGACCAGAGCTAAATATAAGGCTTAAATGCAGTAACTAACTACTGCCCGTCAGATGGACACTTTCCTTCCCACACCTGTTTTTTCTCCCTTTTTGCATTGTTTATAACTAAACAATTACTGCATGTGTGTTTTTACGGCAAGCCACCTCAAATCCCCATGGTGGACATGGTCCTAAAGACTATGTGGTAGCATATGGAGCTGACTGTGTTATAATCTAAACCATGAAAATAAACTTTTTTAAGAATGAGACAAAAAGGCTCGAATGATCCCGTTTTGATGATAATTAAATCTGTGGACACTTGCCCAAAATGTAAAAGGCAGCACGTTAGCAATACTTCAGTTCCCCAGATAGTTTTCTAAGCAATTTTTCTGTATTTAAAATCCCCACACATCTATCCCATATTCTAAAAATCCTTTAATGAAGTAGTATAGGCAAGCTGATTCCACCAAATTTTCAGTTGGGGTTTTAAAAATAGTTTGCTTTATGGTATTAGTTTCATAATCTGTACTGGTTTTGCCAACATTTAGAATATTTTCCTTAAGGAAAATCATTTCTACCTTCTTTCCTTACGAATCACAGAAGCTGGTGAGTGGCATTTAAGAGTTTAACGTGTTTCATCTGTTAAAAACAAGACAACAGTCCCAAAATGGAGTCACTTATGCTAAGCCCCACATCACCAAACCAAGCAGACTTAATTACAATTCCAGCTCTCCCAGAAATGGAATCTTAAACCAGTCAATCAGGAATTGCCTGATTAGCACTAGTGAGGTAATCCGCCTGATAGACTCCTCCACCCCATAAAGGAAAAGAACGTTGCAATAACCGACCCTTGTTCCTATTCCCTTCTGGCTATAAAAATCCTTCATCTTGTAGCACGCCTCAGAGCTCCTTTCTTTTTGCTAGATTAGATGCTGCCCAATTCCAATCCATTTTTGCTCAAATAAACTCTTAAAAGTTTTAATATGCCTCAGTTTATCTTTTAACACACCTGTAAAACATCAGGTGAATGAAAACCCTGATCATGATGCAAAATCAGGTAGTCTAATAATTCCCCACTCTAATTCTAATTCTAAATTCTTACATCTTCCCTCAACCTCGGCTTGAAGAATGCCGCCCTCATCCCACATCAGTCCTCAGCCACCCACCTTGTCCCACTTGGTCCGAAGTTCATCCATGGTGACAGTGCTGTAGGGATTGCTCGAGCTGATTCTGATGTTGTAGCTCTGAATCACCTTCTCCACCTCGTTCTGGATGGCCATGATGGACTGCCGCTCGCCGTCCGCCTCCGGCAGCGTCGCTTTGAACTGCTCGTGGGCAGTGATCAAACTCTACCAGAGACACAAGTAGAGAAAAGTCCATCTTACTTTAGGGTGAACTTTATAGGCTTCGATGTTCCCTTCTGCACATGTGCTAAGGCCTTTATAACTGCAGGAGTCTCTGGAGAAAAACAAATTCTGGATGTTTTAGAAAAGCTACTTGGTGCCCAAAAGTCAAGTTCCTTGAAAACGGAGAAAAAGATATCATGATGACTATTTAATTGAGGGCTATTAATCCAAAGTCTTCAAAAAAGTAATTATTTTCTTTTTTTCATTATTTTTGATCCTCAGCTACTGTTTAGGTCTTCCTCTCCACTGAGAAACAGAATTTAATTTACCTGCCCTTTCCAATGACCAGTTTCACCTTTGTAGTCCAAATGTTAGAACCTAACATTTGCTGCCTTGATACCTAAAGACCACCAGGAAGTACCTCCCTAGTCCTCAAAAAGGAAAGGCCACAGAAACCAACTCTTTACCCTACGGCTTTATAGAACCTCATTTATCAAACCCATCCTTTGACCCTAACGCAGAAGACAGCAGCCCCTTCCATTCAGCTGTACATAGGGGCACGTGGACCACCTTCCAGTGGGAAGCTAATGTTATTAAGTGCTACAAAGGATCAGCTGCCAGCACAACTTTCACTAAACAAACGACTTCCCACATCAAGATTGGCTTCCAAGGCATACTTAGAAATCTCACTTATTCCAAAAATAAACGATTTTAGGTTGCTAACCTTTGCTGAAGAGCACATGCAAGAAACACCATCACAGTGTCTTTCAGAAAACAAATGCAATGTTCAACAAAGTAATTTCTTTCCCCTTACATCCAGATGCAAACCCTTCTAGAATACTCCTTGGCAGGGAGATGTGGGTTCAAATCCCAACTTTCAGTATTTCCTTTATATTTGGATTCTTTTTGATGACCTATTTTACTGAAAAAATAATTAAAAAGTATTTTCTCTTTATATTCTATTACACATCAAATTCACTGTACAATGGTCTCTAGATAAATTGGGTCTTGGCTATTGGAGAGTAACTCTCCTCTCTAAGATGATGTCTTAAAAGTCTTGTTTACAACTTGAAAGTTCCAGAAGAAATCAGAAGCAGAACATTTTGGCTTTTGGGAGGCAGAAGTGCTGATTTATGGTTTCTTATGCTTTATGATCTGGTAAAACTCTGTCGATCTTAATAAACAGTAATATGCACACATTTGCAAAGCAGTTAACTCATAACTTTCCGTGAACAACTACAAGAGCATATATGTCTACTTTTTGCTCAATAATTCCACATTCTTTTTAAAAGAACGAACCCTTTTAAATGTATTCACCATTATCAGATTACTGTTCATTTAGTTGCAGCAAAGAGCAGTATTCACATTTTTAAGCTAAAGGTCAAAGGGTAATTTGGGTTTAGTAGCCACATTTTTCCTAGGAAAAAAGTGAAACAGAACCAAAAAACCGCTAAGTTTTAAAAATTACGACTCATTTCCAGCACAGTAAGAGCACAGAGGAGGGGCTCAGTTACCTGGATCTCCTCAATGCTGTGGACAATAAACATGTCTTGCAGGTCCTCCATGGCCCCTTCCATCCAGTTGTTAAAAGGAGCAGCCCTCTTGGCAAACTCCAGGTGAAGCTGATCAATGGTTTCTAGCAATTTCTCAGTTCTCTGAAGATTAAATAGAAGGAAGTGTTACCATAAATGAAATAATAAAAAAGTATCTGAAAATGTAAATATGCATTCCAGAGCAATACACTATCAGCTGGCATTTTGTTAAGCACAATGCTGCCACCACGGGCACGTGTACACAAAAGACTAACCAATGTTCAAACGATTAGGTTGAGCCCTGAAGTGCCTTCTGAATCAAAGGAGAATTTAATAACATCTACAGTAGCCTTGATTTAATAGTATGTTAGGTACTCTATTACATGCTACTTTTTTTAAAACTTCAGAATCCACATAGGATCTATAGTAACTTGCTTTCCACTAAAGCAGTACTTTATAAGCTAGAGGATCTGATTCCCTAACCACACTGGATAACAGAAAATTCAGGGCATCCTCCTCATTTTAGTCAACATCGTGTAGAGCAGATGGGTGCCTTTCCGAAAAGTCACCCACCTAGTGAAGACAGAGGAGCTACAGCTGAATGTTCCCAAATCCTCATTCAGGATTTAACACAGAGCTCTCGTTGCCTTTCTGGGCCTATGAAAGTGCAGGGCCTCAAGCCACAGAGGATACTATGCTTTTCATATGGCAGAGATGATGCGGAACAGAGCATCCTGTATCTAGACGTCTTCCATAAGTAGATTCTTTTTTCTCTCCCGTTCTAAAATATTTGAGCTGTCTATGTTACATGCCTGGTCCTTCCTCTCTCTCAATCTTCCCTTCTTTAGATGGATATGGAAGGGTCAGCTGGCATCCTGGAAGCCTGATAACATGTATTTTAAAAGTTTCATCAGCGTCAGGATGAAAAGACTCAGAAAACTGGCAAGGGATTCTTTCTTCCACATTGTCTGAGACTTCCATGGTGAAAGATAATTAGTGACAGTTAAATACCAGTCACTTACTGCTGTTTAGCTAATCCTTCTACTTGGATAAGGCCAAATTCATCCTGATTCTGTTTCATACCAATTTTTCCTTATTTCAATATTTGTGGCCATTTTCCCTTTGCACATCTTAAGTGAAGTACTTCCTGATTTCCTGACTCAGTCACAGCTCTATTTATTTTTATATAAGGGCTTCTGGAAATTCACTGTAACTACTACTTGATACAAAATGGTTTACACCATAATCTCATTGCCCCTGATTTTTTTAAATTTGAAAGTACGCTTCACTGCTGTATGGATAAATCATAGTACAAAGCTACCAACTTTCCATTTCCCTCTTTCTTCTACTTTTCGTATTCTCTTGAGAGACTGCTTTGACTAGACAGTCTGTTTTGTTTTATACATATAATGTCACAGAAAAAACTCAGAAAATTAATAACAGTGACTTAATTAAAGAGCCTCTATTAAAAGATTTCATGTCAACAGGTGGCTGAAGACTTCACCTCCAGGGCCTCTCTCCTCTTCTGAGTAAGTGTTCCCAATCTGTCCCACTGGTCACAAATCTTCTGGCACCGATCGTTGACATTCACAGCATCATGATAGTCCAATTCGCTATTAGAGGCGAAAATAGAGATTAACTTTCCCAGGTGATATGAGGAAGAATGGACATGAGCTCAAAATAAACAGATAATTTTTCTTTAAAAAAAGATCTGATAGAGAATTGGTGGCGTATTTCAGGGTTTCGCTAATGGTCAACATTGCAAATATGATTGAAATTCTCTGATTATAAGAAAAATTAATAAAACATTTGCTGGTCCACGGATTTCTAAACAGAGACACAGTGTCTTCTCAGTGCCTCAGGCTAACTTTATTTAACTCCCCTCATCGTTTTCTTGGCCAGGCCCCCAGACAGCATTATTTTTAAGTGGCAATGTACCTGTAAATGAAGCCAACTATCTGACCTAGAGGACAGTCCTGTGGGCTGCGCTGAAGCCACAGTGACTAGGACATCAAATGAGTCAAGGGGGAGGGAGGTATCAGCTTGCACCCCATTGTGTCCTTGGCTCCTGTTGAAGGGCACTGGGCCTCACGGCTGGGTGGAGCGTCACGTCCGGAAGGGGCGCTGTGGCCGTGTCTAGCACTGGAAGGACTTGCAGAGCCTGGGAGAACAGTCCTTCCTCTTCTGGACAAAGAGGTTCTGACTTGTCTAACGCGGCTAGCGTGACAAGCAAGAACAACAGGATTTCTTAGGAAAGAATTACTCTTCCTCTCCAGCCCTGTCCGTACATCCTAATGGGATCTTTGAGAGGTGAAGTAATTTGAACTTACCATTCAAGCAAATTCTCAACTAAAAGGTTAACCTAGTATCTCTGGCCATAAAAAAAACTTTGAATCCTGTACAAAATTTAACCACCCTTTTAATTAAGATGAAAGTGAAACTCACAGAGGTTTAAAGACATTTTCAGGAGACCTCTCCTTCAAAAACAGTCCAAGATAAGACAACTTTCAGGAAATTCTCTCCTATCCTAACAAATCCATTTCCCTGACTCTTAAATTTATTTCTCCTTTCAACCTTAAATTAAGGCAATGGTTGTTCTTACTTGTTTTTTTTCCCCCTCTTAAATAATGTTAATTTGTCCTTATTGAATGTGACTGTTTCTGTTACTGAATAAAGGAGATGCATGTGGTGGTTATCTGAGGGTTCCTTCAGTGGGTAGGAAGCTCCCTACCACCTAGTTAAATCTTGTCCAGTCCTTAAGAGCGGCCTTCTACACACACACGCACATCACCACACTGAGATGGACTAAGATTCCTGTGCTTATTGTTACAGTCAAAAATCCAAAACCAACCAAAACACACCAGCAGTGTGCACAGCCTTGAATACAAAGTGAAAAGGCCATGGCTCTTCAAAATGCAAATATTAAAGAGAAGAAAGACTTACTAACAAAAACCCAGGAATCCTTCTATTGATCCACAAGGGACACAGCGACGCTCACCTCCCGGTGGTCATCTTTACAGCACACAGTTCCCCCCCTGCCTCTAATGCATATGGAATAGCTTTGCACATACCTGCTTTTCAACGAGTGCGGGTTTGAATAACTGTGCATACTACTTTTTATGCACTCTGAGAACTACACAAACACTTTGATTTATTATTTTAGAAAAGGTGAAAAGGACAGGGATGTTACTAACGTTAAGATGAGCACAGATTTAAATTCTGTATGTGGTTCCTCTCTTGACTGTGTGAAGAAAAAGTCATTGGGAATACCAGGAATAATAATAACACAAAATTATTACTAAAATTTTATGGGCAACACTTAAAACCACTCCCAATTACTCATGGGGGCTACTACAGAACATTAATAGCTGGGGTTTCTTTTCATCCTCTTATTTTATTTGTAATTGTTAACGAGCAGCCAAATATTCAACATTTAAGAAGTATGAGAAATAAAATAACATGAAGGGCACAAATATAGTGTACAAATTGGGTAGGAAGACCATAAATAATTAAGAGTTTATTTGGTCAAGGCTAAAAAATAGGATACTCTTAAAATAGGCCCTATCCATTAATTAAGGAGTTTGCTTTAGTCAAAAGTGAGGAACATAGGAGTTTTAAAATGTAACATATTAAAATAAACATTTATTACTTATTTTTTAAAGTTATATGACAGACTCTAAAAATTTTGCAGATATATCAGTCATTATAAGAGGGAAAAGAGTAGGGCATTAAATTTTGTATTTATGGCAAGGGGGCAATGGTCTTTAAATATGCTTAGAAACACAGGGGGGAGGCCCCTCTCCCAGAGGCACACAGCCTGGGGCTGCACCTGCACTGAGGGCTCCTGCTCGGGCTTCAAGCAGCCTGGGCTCACCCTCATGGTAGCTGCTCTCATAAAATACAAAGCATAAAAATGAAACAGCACTGATTTGATGATAAAGCAAAATGGGGCCACAGCATCTCCTTCAGAGGTGAGGCAGTGACTTCTGTTATGTTTTTATTTCTGGATGGGCCATGTGGTCCCATCGCCTGCACCCAGGCCTGAAGGAGGCCGCCCTTCTGAGCTGTGTCCCAGGCCACCATATGGACTGCTCATCTTCTTGGAAGCTGAGCTGCCTGTGCTGGGGTTGGGGGTGCTGCTGGATGGGAGGACAAAGGAGTCTACCGCAACCAGAGAACCAAAGCTGAAGTCAGTTTATCTGTTTGAAAAAGAAAGACAAATGCCATCACAGAGTCCTCCAGCTTGGCTGTCTCTAAATTTAGCACAGGAAAGGAAGGGCAGGCCTCCCTTGCCCCTCCCTGGGAATGCTCTGGGGAAGCCCTTCATGGAATCCTTCCATTGTACCCAGAGCCCGTGGGCTTCACAGGGAGGACGGCATCGGCTGAATGTCAGCAGCTGTGCCTGCAAACAGCACGTACTTGAGCTCCTGCGCAATGGCAGCGATCTGTTCCACCCGGTCCTGGTGCGCCGCCAGGTCGCTCTCAAAGGCCTCATGTTTCCGCAGCAGAGCCCGGACCTCAGTCAGCGACGCCGACTCATAATCCTTCTGCAGCAAGATCTGTTCTTTGCCTGCAAAGGTTGTAACAAGGAGTGTGAATACTCTGATGTTACGCATCAGCTTCTCTGTGCCAGCAAAGTTCTCAGTGAATCATTAAGATTCCAAAGAACCAAGATAAGAGGGGAAAAGAAGGACAGGACTGAAGCTGCGGAGGCAGTATTTCAAGTGGAATTCAGGCCGTTACTCTGCTAATGATGCCCGAGTCCCTCTGTCTGAAAGCTCATGTCTACACATAAAGGGACAAGGGAAGCATGCTGAGTACATTGCAAATAATAAATCTGCATTATTCATCATCCTGAGTAATAAGTACCTGATTTTCCAGTGAGATGCTCAGTTAAGTTAGTAATTATTAGCTCACAAGAGTTACCTGGGATAGTTAGATAAGCTGCTTGTACTCTATTTGCCTACCCACGGGTTCAACCTTTACCCCAATTTTTTTTTTTTTTTAAAGATTTTATTTTTTCCTTTTTCTCCCCAAAGCCCCCCGGTACATAGTTGTGTATTCTTCGTTGTGGGCTCTTCTAGTTGTGGCACGTGGGACGCTGCCTCAGCGTGGTCTGATGAGCAGTGCCATGTCCGCGCCCAGGATTCGAACTAACGAAACACTGGGCCGCCTGCAGCGGAGCGCGCGAACTTAACCACTCAGCCACGGGGCCAGCCCCTTTACCCCAATTATTTTTGTTTGAAAGCTTTACTTTCGGTGGTTAAACGTATCTTGTGGTTTTTTTCCTGATAATATTAGAAATTTTTCTCTCTGAACCTCCACCTATTTCCCTACAAATGTTTCTTAAATCAAGCAACTGCTGTGGTTATATCTGGACCCACATTTATTCCCTGGTTGATGACCTTTAAGAACTTAATTCTATAAAGCTAGAAATGGAAAGCAAATGTTCATATATTTAATGATAACAACATAGCACTTACTATGTGCCAGATACTGATTTAAATACTTTATAAATATGAACTCATTAAATCTTCATCAAAACCTGCTGAGGGAGGTATCATTGTTATTTCCAATTTGAAGAGGAAACTGAGGCAATGAGAGGTTAAGAACTTGTCCAAGACACACAGCTGGGAAGTGTCAGAGCTGGGGACCCCAACCTGTCCGGCTCCAGGCCCATGTACTAACCATCTTGCTGTGCAGTATCACCAATCAAACAATAATAAAGCAAAAGGGAACCAAAGGAGGTGGGTGACCTCCCTGCCCTTTCTCAAAATAGATTATGTGATGGGGGAACGTTTTGTTCTTCTACTTCAGCAAACAGCAGGTAGCCAAAAAAATATGACCCTAGTATCATGGCTCTGGAAACAGGTACATTTGCAGGGCTTAAAAGAAGTAGATGAATCTTAGTGAAATAAGAAGTTAAGACTACAGAAAACATAGACTATAAATACCTTGCATTCTTCCTTTCCAAGCAGATTTCCTAAGTGGGAAATTATTTTGCTTTGTGGCATTTAGTAAACATTCTGTCAGCAGAAGCGAGGATCTGGGCCAGGGCTGTCTGCCCCACAGTGAGGGAATAAACAGATACTTGTGGAATCAAATAGAAAAAAGTGGGGTAAGACAGGAGGAGGCCAGGCCTTGGTTAAGTATGGGAAGAATGCATCTTGAGTGCCATTTTGTGAAAAAATACATTATCTGCTTAATTAGAAAATAAATCTTCATGCCCACCTCTTGAAGAAATTTAGTCCTGGGACAGCAGAGTGGAGAGAGGTGAGGACACCTGCCCACAGGGTCACAGGCATTAGGGACAGAATGAGTAGTCATTGCATGCTGTGGGTCTGTCCACAGCTCAACTCTGACTTTTCAAACACCCAACCCGAGTCTAGTCTACCTACCATAAGCCCACGTCTCGTGCGTTGAAGCCTTCTGCCTAAACTTCTCCGCCAGGTGTTCCACGCGCTCCAGCCTCCGTATCTCGTTGAGCAACCATTCCTCGTAACCCTTCTCTGCCTGCTCCAGCCTCTGCCAGGCGCCAGCGATATCCTGGGAGGGTTCGAGGACAAGCAAAGGCAAATGTGTCACGCTGCGGCCTCCTGGGCTTTCCTATAAATCCCCTCCACCACGTGTTTGACAGTATTTTCTTCCTGTTTTCTTTTCCTTCCCTCACCCTCCCGACCCAAAATAACCATTCAAGTGTCTGGCTTCTAAATGTCTTAATGATCCCCAGGGCCTTTTAAGGCTAACAAAGTTGTTCTCATCAGCTAGTACACACCTGATGATACCTAAATACTTCTCCAGGGGTGGACAAAGGCTGAGAGGGCTTAAATTTTCTGGCTAGAAGAAGATGAAGCCTCAAAGTGACTCAATCCAAAATGACTCTTACTCAGTGATGGCTCACTCGTCCAGCCAGTGTCAACTATGGCCAGGCACTAGAGAGAGACTTTTCTATAAGAGGAAATAACACCTATGAAGTTCCCTGCCTGTGTGGCTTTCATGATGGTCGGGGGAGAAAGACAATAAATAGGTATTTACACAAGTTCATTTTGGAGAGTGCCATGCTGTGAAGGAAACAGGGTCAAGTGATGCTGAGAGCCCAGTGGGGGTGGTTCCTTTAGGCAAGGTACTTAGAGAAGACCCCTCTGAGGAGGTGGCATTTGAGCCGAGGGACAGACATTTGGCTCAGTGACAGAAAAAGTCAGTTATGTGAAGAAGTCGGGAAGGGGCATCCCAGATTGAGGGAACAAGGTCAACAGCCTGAAGAGGGGTGTGCTCCACATGCATGTGGGAAGGACCACAGCAAGTCAGGGCAGCTGTGTAGTGAGTAAGGGGTGGGCCAGCAAGAGAGGCGATCATCAGGGTGGGGAGGGGGTCAGACCACATCGGATCCTATAGGCCAGGAAAATGAATCTGAATCTTATTCTAAATATTTTGGGAAGTCACTGGAAGGTTTTGAGAAGGAAGGAGACATGCTCTGATTTGTATTTTAAAAAGATGACAGTGGCTGCCTTGCGGACAATGAATTTTAGGGGGCAAAAGAAAAAGAAGAGCCAGTGAGGGGTTACTGCAGGGTTGAAGGAGAGAGAATGGTGGCTTGTCACAGGCTGATGGCAGTGGAGGTGGAGAGAGGACAGATTTAAGATATAATCTGGAAGCAGAGCCAATGGGTCTGGCTGAGGAACTGGATACAAGAAAATGACAGAAAGGGAGAATCAGTGACACCACCTGGGTTTGGGGCTTTAGTCATTTAGGGGACGGTGATGGAACTTACTAAGACAGAGAACACTGTGGGAGAACTCTTGGATATGTTAGGTGTGGAATGCTTTTGAGACATGCAAGCAGACAGATGATCCTGGAACTAGGGGAGAAGTCAGAGCTGGGGATGTAAAATTCGGGAGGCGTTACAGGTGGTCATTAAAGCCACAGGCCTGGATGAAACCACCTGGAGGGTGCAAAGATAGAGAAGAGGGTCAGCACCAAGCCCAGGAGTTGGCCATCTCCGGGCTGGGGAGAAGAGGAAAATCTTTGAGCAGCATTAGAAGAACTCATTGGTGAGGTAGGAAGAAAAACTGTAAGTTCAAGAGCAGAAAGAATTTCAAGAAGGCAGTGATTAACGGGGTCAAAGCTACAGAGAGTATGAAACTAAAAGTGACAACTGGATTGTCAACATGGATGCCGTTGGCTTTGACAAGAACAGTTGGGGGGGGTGGGGGGGCGGGGGGGGGGGGAGAAGCCAGATTACTCGAGGTTGAAGAGTAAAAGAAAGAAGGAAAGGAGTGGTGAGGGACTGAAAATCAGTTCCAAAAAGAACTCCCTTTGCATGTTCTGCTGGAAGGGGAGCTGAGAAATAGGACAGTTACTATAGGGAGATGTGGAGTCATAGAGGGTTTTAATTTTTGTCTGGCATATTCTAGAATACTTCTGTATGCTGATGCGAATGATTCAGTACAGAGGGAGAAACTGATGATGCAAAGAGAGGGAGATAAATGTAGGACTAAGTTGTAGAGAAGGTGAAATGGGTAGGTCGTAACAGCAGATAACAGAGGGCATGGGATCTAGATGCTGGTAGACCTAGGGGGAAGACAAGGCTGGGTGGTGAGGAGTGGAGGAGATGGGAGGGCCATTCACCGAGTGTTGAGACCTGGGAAGAAGACAAGGCCGGATGGTGAGGAGAGGAGGAGATGGGGAGGGCCGCTCACCGAGTGTTTACTGGAGGCCTGCCCTTTGTGAGGCACCACACCTATAGCAGTTAGGAGTCGAGAACTGCATGATGGTGGGGAGAAAAATGTCAAGAATGAAGTGGTTACAGGGCCAAAATTATATTCAGTAACTACAGACTGAAGAAGTCAACGCCTCTTGCTCAGTGGCCCATCAGAGAAAAGATTTTATGAAAAAAGAGGGCTTCCCACGGGACCAGGAGAGCTTCTGAGCCTGGGCTACTCACCGACACCATCTTGCCCTCGGAGGGCATGAAGGCGGGCCGGTTGCTGATCCTCAGCTTGGTTTGCAAGGTGTTGAAGTTGATCTCCAGCTGGCACTTCTCCTGCACCTTAGGGGGCTTGTGCTTCCGACGGTAATCCCGGAAGTCCTCCAGCTTTTTCTGCATAGCTTGCATGGTCTTCTCAGGAGTCCTGTTCTCTAGCCAGGGGATCGTGCGACGAATCCATTCCAAAAGCTGCTCCCAAAACACAAAAATACTGCTGAAATCACCAGCAAGCTGCCCCCTATTGAAAAGCAGCAGCACCTAACAATTTGGAATGCATTAACCTAATGTTCCTAAAATTACAGAAGTATAATACTCCTGACTAAAAGGAGGAAAGGCATGTCTGCGCACTGTGGCATGAATGAAAACTTCAGTATCCACCCACGGCCACCAGTGACCACCCCAACAATATCATACACAGGTCAAAAACTCGAAGTCAGCACGAGCCATATTTTACAAAAATGTGACATTTACAGGAAACTCGGGGACCAGACATTAGTAGACAAATGCTGGATGGAGCTTTTAAATGGAAAAAAATGAAAGCAAAAAAATCTGACGTGGTGGAATGTTGTATAATAAAATCAGCAAAGATTTGGGTTTAACTTAAAATGTATTCATATTTTAAATAAGCTCAAATCTAACGAATTTATTAGACAAATGTATTGTAAATCTGGGACTGACAACGCCAAAGTCTATTTTAATTTAATATCTAGCTTTCAAGGAAATCCACATGATAAAAGTGACAATGGTAGTGAATGCCTAAGGATGAGGTACACACCTCCTTCTCTATAATTACTACCATGGCCTCAGAAATGATCTGCTGAAAAGCCACTAATAATTTAACTTATGATCACTTGGAAAATGACAGCATATAAGAATAAAAATTAGTTAAAATGGTGATATACCCATAGCCTAAGAGTTTGAGGAGGATAAACGAAGGACCATGTAAGAAAAGGAGGGAGAGAATTACTGAGGATGGTCTGTCCTCCGGTCCTGGTCATGCTTCAACCCTGAAGTGGATCAGCGGCATTAAACAATGCCACCAAACTGAATTTCCCCAAAGCAGCAGGGAATATACACTCAGAATATAAACTCAGTGTAATTAGACTGGATTAATATAAACCACTACCTAGGAAGATTTATTCTAAGTGCCCCAATACTTTCCCCAGTACAGATCAAATGTCAGCTAAATTAATTCAGAGCAAAAATTATTTGGTCTCCGATACATGTCACTGAGATTGAGGTCAATCTGGAGAGGATGTGGCTGTGGCACTCGCTCAGCCCGTATCTCGTACGGGGAACATAGTGTAGCGGCAATGATGAGACTGCTCAGTTTCTATTTATGCTATAACAAGAACAAAAAAAGAGCAACATGGAAAGTGCTATTCGAACCAAGAATCTGGCTGAAGAGCTGTAGAATGGCCTCATGGAAACTCGTGCTCAAATATCTTGGACGGAGGGCTCTGTCTTCCCCAATTTCCCTCTTGATATTTATATACACACACAAGGCTGAGTCATGTCTCCCCACAGGGCAAGTTCCTTTGACGCTGGGCCACTGTGTGGAGCAGGGCTCCTGAATATGGAGAGCACCTTATGTGATGTCAGTAGCCAATGAAGCAGGAAAAAAACAAGTAATGAATGTCATCTAAGGGAATGCAACCCTGGAGGTGTCCACTGAGGATGGAATCATATTCTACTTCTCAAAACAGGCCAACTAGCGCGATGCTTTGGGATGGTTGCAAAGACCCCCAGGATTACCTTTGGGTCAATAACACATTGCTACAAGATGAACCGCCTCTGAGGTCAAGTATATTTCCCTACTTTTATTCTATCTGAGATGAAAAATGCAAAGAAAAAAAACACTGACAATCTGTGTTCCCCCTGTGTGCCTCACCCTCTGGGTGGGTACGGACAGGACTGCAGGTCACCCGTTTCCTTTACCTCACTTGCTAGCCTCTCATATTCTTCCATCAGCCTCTCATTCTCTTGATTCACAGCAAGAACCTTACATATCCTGTTAGCTGCTGTCTCGGCCTGTAAAACACAATAGGTAAACAGGACAGCTCTGTCGACAGGGATGCATGTACACAAAACTGAACGTGGCGGGGCATGAGAGGTAATGAGGGAGATGGCGTGCTGTACATGGTGCAGATTCTAGGTTAGGGTGGAATAAGATTGAGGGTATGGCAATTTAATACCATGAATCATTTCACACCTTTTTTACAGTTTTCACACAGACTTACACGGCAGGCTGAACATACTGTAGGGAATAACGGGGAGATACCGTTAGTCTAAAACACAAGCTTTGTAAAACATCAAGCAAGTTAGTAACAGAAATATACGGGTCAAGGAACCCAAAACCTCCGGTCCCTGAATGTCCACCTGAGCACTGTACTGACCTCAGGACTATGGGGTGAGAACTCTCTGAATAACATTAGCCTTTGGAAATCAAAGCAAAAGTGACTGGGTCCTGAACATATATGTTATTGCGCTTGAGTTCACAGAAGGCCTCTTCTCCTGAACGGAACAGGTAGAACTTGCTAGATCCTTCCACAGAGCTGAACTTGCTTAAAGACTTTGTGTCACCTACATGGGAAGTCACTGAGGTAATACGTAATTCTCTATCATCGTTTTGTGGGGGGAACTTGGGGCAGGAATGGCAAAGTGCCTTGAACCATGATCAGATGATGAATTAAGAAGAGCAACTTGCCCATCAGCTCCCAGGCCCACAGCCTGCCCCAAAGTCTCCCCTCTAAAGCCCAAATATGGGCCTATTTCTGGTTACCACCATTTGCTGGTGTTGGTCTTAAAGAAATAACAGAAATAACATAACCTTTGTCCATCTCAGTCTATCAGGATTCTCCAAGCGCCGATATGTGAAGGAGCGAGAAGCACAAACAGCTGCGCATGGAGAAAGCTGAAGGACATTCACCCACAATGCCCCTCAAGCTGTTTGTCTTAAGGAATGCGAATTTTTTGAGGTTCTAACACTGTTACCTTTCACTATTTCAATTAAAATAAGATTAGTCTTATGAAGATATTACAACAAATCACTGAACCATGAAGGCAATTTCTAGGCAGAGGAGACTAAGGGCGCACTGGAAAGGCATCATTTCTCTTTGTCACATTTCCCCTTTCCCCTTTAGTGCTCAATGAACACGGCTCAATTTTCATGGCGCTTGTTGTTTCCTAAAGCACAAATATTTCCCACAATTTAAATAAAAGTAATGTCTTAGGAGAGAGAGATAAAAACACTTCAGGAACTGGCTAAAGTTAAAGCTGTTAAAAAAAGTATTCACAGTTTGGAATGTGCCATATTAGGTCATTAGAAAACACTCAGGAAGATTCTGAGGTAAGATGTGAAGCACACGAACACACACCCAGGTACGCACACGCGTGCGCACACACACACACAACTAGAACCGACGCAGAAGAGCAGCACGGCAACCGGATGGACAAGTGTTGAATACCTGCTCCGCTCCCGCAAAAGCATGGTAGAAGCAAGAAACGTATGTCATGATAGCTCTTTCATCTGGTTTGGGAGTGTTCACAATGTCTGAAGGGAGGGAAGAATAACACAGAAAACAAACACACACAGATGAAGAATAGAAACCAGGGTGGAGAAAGGGAAGAACAAATTGGTTCACACTGATTGCTTTTCTCTGTTTCCTGGGCCCACAATCCTGAACCTCATGAAGGCGCTACAACACTGACACGGTTCATGAACAGAATAATTTGAACCAGCATGCTCTTTTAGTAATCAAACTGAGGGCGTTTTTTCTTCCCCCACCCCCGATGGGCTTTTAAAAATTCACTCAGGGCATTAATATGAGAACCCATATGCTGCATGTCAGAGCTGTTATCACTTCCTTGTGACTCATGAAGCCCACGGCCTCTCGTCTCCTGACCATATCAGGTCATCTGCCACTTTTGCCACTTTTTGCTATGCATGATGCTGGGAATGCTGGCAGAGCTCAAGCGCCCCATTTCTCCTGCCACTTCCCCACCCCAACCTCACAATTGTTGGTATTCCTGCTCTGTAAATGGCCCTGGCTTGGATGAGGATGAAATTCCTCGGAGAGGCCATGTCTTTTAATGCCGTCTATACATACTTACCATGCCATTTATAGAAATCACCAGTAGTTACAAACCATCTAAAGAGAAGGGTATACCTGGCTTGTTACAACTCTTGCTACCATTTGTATTAGCTGCTGAAATAACCAATAGGAAGAGAGAAAACAGAACCAGGTGAACACACATCCTTTCTTCCTCCACCTTGGAAACACCGTTTTTTGCTGAATTGCTTTCTAACTTTAAACTCAGTTCACTCACTGGACAGAAGGAAGTTAAAAAGATACCTTGTTATTCCCTAAGGTGAAATCTATTCATTGGGTTTTCAGAGGATATTAATAGAAAGGATGTGGGGTTGCATAACAGTATGGAATCTTCTGGAAAACAAACATGAACGGCATACTACTGCATGGACAGAAAGTAAGTTTTAAAGAAAAGAGACTAAAAAAGACAAACGATTGCCTCCTCAGAACCAGACGGGTCTCCTTACTCAGATAAGAGGGAAAAAAAAGAGAAAAACAATTGAAAAAAAAATTCAGACACAGAAGGTGAAGGGTGAGCAGTGACTCACATTTTACATCCTCACCTTCTGTGCACCAGCAAAAGCATGATAGTAACAGGAAACATAAGTCATTATGGCTCTCTCATCAGGTCTGGCAGTGTATACTAAATCTGTGTGGAGAAAAGAAGGTTAACTGCTGGGATGTTCTAAGGCCAGCAGGCTCCCGCTAAGTGCTGCCTCAGAGAAGCCAAAGTAATGAATCTTCTTGCTTTACCCCCACACACTTATGTTGTTAAAACTTTGGCTCAAATCAAAGAAGTCACATCTGCAAAGTTATTACTCTCTATGCACTTTTGAAAACTGCCAACAGAAATAAGGGAATTGCCAGAGAAAAGGGCATGGCTAGCTCGGAAGAACCCTAAACTAGCAAGTAAGTCACATCCACAGCCAGAATTAGACTCCAGAATTCCCCACAGAATGCACATTCCCACAGACTTTCTATTGCTGTACACATAGAGGGCCCAGGGTTCCACAAAGGTCCCCCTTTTGCAAGTCCACACAGAACACACGCACCCACAAATCTAAACCTGGTGCTCACCTCAAAAAATGTTTTTGGAAGAAAACAGGGAAACAACTTTTATAACCTTTCAAAAGCACGGAAGATAGTTAAGAGGAGGAAGATTTCCACCACTTTTTATCATAGGTGAGTTCCTGGGTGAGTGGCCCGATTAGCCACTCGAAAATCCCTAGGTTGGGTTCAGAGACTAACACAAATGACAGAAAGCGAGGTCAACAGAAGCAGGTGGGAAGGTAAGGATTAGCCAAAAAGGATTAGCAGTCTGACAGGAGGAGACCAGTATATGACATTATGATAAAGGCATGGCAGAAATAAGAATATGTTAAGAGGATGTTGTGGTGATGGTAAGTCCGAACGTAAGGCAGCAAAGACACAAAGGGCAATGCGTGGGGGAATCTCTTGGGTAGTTGTATTACAGCATGACCCACACCCAAGTCAGGCAAGTTCATAACTCTTTGCCAGAAGATTCTTATGAGAAATTACAAAGAAAATAATATAATGTGTGAGCATTTTTTGGAAGATGAAGAAGAGTAATGAGAGACTAGGATGTGTCACAAGAGAGGAGGAAATGAACGGAGTGCTAAGGCACTCTGTCAACACAAAGGATATGCAGAATGGAGATCTGCCGAGACCAGGACTCAGAGACCAAGGAAAAACCTAAGAACTAGGCAGAATGTTAGCATGCCAGAGTAATGATGACGGTGCTCATCCTCAATTTTAATATAATAGGGAGGTATTAATGACCTGGAAGATGAATTTACTAAATGTTGCCAGTTTTTTCCTCCCCACTAATTCAAGTGGGTAAATTCTGGGAAGGTCAAAAGAGAGACCACACAAACGTAAACTTCGCTTAGAGAAGACAGATGGACGAAAAGGAAATGGAACTTTTCCATGTTGCTACTTCATTGTTTTATTGACTTTCTCCCTCTAAAGGGTTTTGGAGAATTCATAATTCAGTAGAATTCTGAAGAGTATATTCAAGTGTTAATAGCAATAGTACAGGTGTTTGATAAAATGGTTAAATTAATAAATGGGCAACATTAGAATCCTAATTGAAAGATCACTGTTATGGGTTGAATTGTGTCCCTAAAAAAGACACGTTGAAGTCCTACCCCCCAATAGCTGTGAAAGTGACCTTATTTGAAAGTAGGGTCTTTGCAGATATAATCAAGTTAAGATGAGGTCATGCTGGAGTAGGGAGGGCCCTAAATCTGATGTGTCTGGTGTCCTTATACAAAGAGGGAAAGAGACACAGAGACAGACACACAGGGAAGATGACCATCTAAGGCAGAGTCAGAGATTGGAGTGATGCTCCCACAAGCCAGGGGATGCCTGAGGCTTCAAGAAGCAGGGAAAAGCAGGAAAGATACATCTCTAGTGGCTTCGGAGGGAGCATGGCCCTGCCAATATCTTGATTTCAGACTACAGCTTACAGAACTATAAGAGAATAAATTTCTGTTGTTTTAAGCCAACCAATTTGTGGTAATTTGTTACGGCAGCTGTAACATAATGATCAAAAATAAGAAGGAAGAGAAGATTGACTATTGACTATAATCAAGTTCTTTCCTTTTCCCCAACAATGCTAATTAGTGAAACAATGGACCATTAGGGAATAATATTACAACCAACACAGTAACCTAAGTTCCTTAAGGTCAGGACCCTACCTTATACATCTCACTATCTCCTGGAGTACCTAGCAGAGGGTCTTGTTCACACCAGGTGCTCAATAAATGTCTGTTGAGTGATAAGTGAATCGTGAATAAGTGAAATGAATGAATGGTCTCCATATATTTGTGCTTTAATGGTGTGCCATAGGTGTAACTCACACGAATTATACATAGGTACAATTCATCACACCTAAAGGGCACAAAAGGTATTTGAAACCAGTCCCCAGCATAAGTGATGCTGAACTGCAAAATATTTAGAAGTTCTTTCGGATCTAACTAAATTTAACTGAGACTAATTAAAAATGAAATGTGAAAGTTCGAGAGGCATACTGATGGCTGGATGTTCTAAATTCTCTATTTCGATTCTATAACTTGTAGTTGGAAGGAAGGAATTTTTCCTTATAGAGCCTTAAGCACTTCACAAAACGATTTATTTGCTAAACTTGTCTCTACATGGTAAGGAAAATACATTATGTTGTTAAAAAAATTAAAATAGGAAGCTTTTCTTTGAAAACCACAAACCAAAGCATTCTGTTTCTTTGCCAAAGCTGAAGCTTTACAAACCTTTTTGCCACAGTTTTGCTGGCTTGTTTTGGGGAGGGATTTTAAAAAATAATTTATGAAAAAGCTATGTATGCAATTCTCTAATACTCATTAAGGAATCCTAAGTACTTCAGATGTAAACTGACTATAAAGTTTTACAGACCCCCATGCATGGCCATAACATAGATTTTACATAAGTCATCTCACCTTCAGCATCCAACATTTTGGGAATATCCAGGTGCTTCTCTGCAATTTCCATGGCCAGGTTAATATTTCCTATTGGGTCATCCTACACGAAAAAGAGCATAACTAGTTTTTAAAAATGTTTTTTGAACAGGACATACGAATAATTTTTTACATCCTCACTTTGGTGAGGAGACCTTCCCACCCACACAGAACCGTAATAGTATGAATAATTTTCCTTCTTATCTTTTCCCAATCACTTCAAACATTTAGAGAAACATCAAAAATGATACAAAAACACACAATCCATGCACAATCCAATTCATAAAATGTAAACAAAAGGTTTAAGAGAACAAATGCTTTGTGACTAGGAGGAAAGTTGTCAGATACTTTCTCATGGGTGGGAAAGAACATCCTGAATACGTCAAAGCTTATTTTCAACTCTATTAATAACTAAATTTAAATGATTCCAAAGGAAATCATGAAACATATACTTCCTAGATCTGAAGATGATCATGGAAATATTTAGTCCAACACCCTTGTTTTATAGGTAAGAAAGACAAGGGGTAAAGAGGACAGGGAAACACGTTGCTAGGTAAAACTTCTAGATCACTCAAGAATGTTACAAGAGGGCTACAAAGAGCAAAGATTATGTTTCTAGGATGGTAATGACTAGAAGAAATTATAAAAACTTAAAATTGCAAATGAAAATTGAAGTGAAATTTTTGTTCTTAAGATTACATTTATCTTCCACTGTACAACTGGTTAAAGATCTATAAACAAAATAAATTTTACCAGAAGTGTATAACTGAAATAGTGAAAAACTAAAAGACTTATTTAACATTTGTTTTAATCTAGTAGAGACTAACATTATGCATCTGGAATGGGGGTATGTAAGAGAGAAAAATCAAAATGAAAAGTCGTGTTAGTCCAGAGGTGACTTTAATGAATTTTAACATCAAAGCCATTTAAACATTCTAGAAACTGCAACACATTGCAATGAGCACAATCACTTTAATCCAGTGAAACATTTAAAAAGTGCAGCCCTCAAAAACAGTCACAGTGCTCAGTGAAGAAACCAAAGTAAGTTTCCTGGCCTTGCAGAGTATATAATTATTTCAAGCAAAAAGTTTTTTTAACTACATGCTGTTTTAACAAAACATATAATCATTTCATTGAAAGCAGCCACATCACAAAGAGAGTCTTACCTGGATATTTTTTTGCAAATGTTTATAAAGCCAAATAGCTGAATAAAAATTTCTTTCTTTTTGTTTTTAATGTGTAAGAAAAATTTCAGCATGAAAAATACAGGGTAATGATTCTGAGACTTTGTGAAAGCTATCTCATTTAGACTGTAACTTAAAGAGATAAAATGTGGCAATTAAGTATTTTCTTGGATCAGCAACTGGCCATGTGACCTTGGGCAGATTAGTGAATTCCTCACTTTCTTCATCTGTAAAACTAGTATAATAATAGTACTTACTTTATAGAGCATTATATTTTACTGTGCATTATGAAGACTGAATGAGTATGTGTGTGTATGTGTAATATACATATATGAATATATAAACACACTTATTAATATATATTAATAGTAATGTATATACATGTATATATTATATATTAAAACATATATACATATATATTTATAACAATGTCTTATCTAGAGCTATATAAGTATTAGCTGCTATTATTATCATTTTTTCACACATCTCAGATGGCCAATTACCACAGGTTATTGACCTTTTGTAATAAAAACTGACCATTATAAACTGCTAATGAAATTAAGTCTACCTTGAATCCCCTCATTTCACAAATGAGATAAAGATTAATTGAAAAAAATACACCTTGTCCCTGAAACATTTCAAAATAACTCAGGAGTCAGAGAATATATATACGCTTTGAGAAGCTGAGGAACTCTGGTTGCTCCATTTCCTAGGCAACCTTCCATTACAGGACTGTAGTAATAACCTTTCGGATACAAATAAATTCTTCACGTGTGACCCTGCAGTCAATGGAGACAGGCCAGGAGAGTGGTGGTGAGCATGTGACAACTGAAAAGGTGGTGGAAGGCAGGACACTGCTCCAACGACCACCCATGCCACACGGATGAGGGCAGCATGCAGCAGGGTGGGTTCCACACCAAAACACAGCAACACAGCGTGAGCGGCCCGCTGAGCACAGCAGCAACCAGAAGGAAATGCCCACAACCACCGCCTGGAGGAACGCGTCCGGCCGGCAGCGCCTGCAGCCTCACATCTCACAGGGCATGACGCCTAGGGTGGCACAGAGCCTCCAGCACAGGATTTACAAGGGGCCCAGATTTCTTTTTTCCATCAAAGAAGACACTTCTACTTTTAAAAAGTGATTTTGAAGACTATTTGAAACTTAAGTATACTCTATCTTAAACTTAAAGGGAGAAGTAAAGTTTCTTAAATTGAATTTTCTGAAAAGACTAAAACCAAAAAGAAATCTCCAAAACTTCTCAGGCTACCACTAATATCTGATATCAAAAGCAAGATAATTATGAAGTGTCCCTTGTGTGAGAAACAAGTTAATAATTCTGAATAAATACATCTGTAACTAAATCCTTCAGAAAAGGTAAAGTAAATTATCTTGTATTTGAACCTTTCTTTCCTCAAAAAAACATATAGTTCACTTTTCATATTTACAGTCTAGGAGTGTAAGAAACATAGATAAAGCCTTCACAGTAAATCAAGCCAAAATGACAAACATATCTTAATTTGGGCAAAATGGGTGACTTGGCTCTGGGTCTTGTCCTGCGCTAACAGGACAGTGAGCGTTTTCCTGGCCACGCCTCCTGTTCTCCCTGTGCACGAGGCGGCTGGCAGGCGATGCTGGCGGTGGCCTCGGTGTTTGTACGGTGCTGATGTGCTCATTTTCAGGACGACATGCAGAGGGGCAGAGGGAACACTGCATGCTGGGCCCCCAGAATGACCTTGTTAAGCTTTGAGTAGTCAATGAGATCGGGCCGGTGTCTGTGGATGAGTGCACAGAGTCCAAGGCCATCTTTCCAGCTGCACGACGGTCGAGAAGAACAGGAAGACGTGTTAATGGAGAGAAAGCAGCAGCAAGGGTCCAGTCTTGGTCAGACGCTGGCCTGAAATTTGGGATGCAAGGCCCCTAACTTCCTTCTATCTGACTTGCACAAAAGGTGCCTATGTGCCTTCCTCCCCACCCTACCCAGTGGTCTTGTGGCCCCTAGAACACCCGTCTTCTTCCTGAGGTCCACGGAGGACTGCCACCCCCTTGTTCCTTCCCTTTCCATTTAGAGCGTCAGGCTCCCTGGGCCTGGAACTCCTCCCCGTCCCCTGCCCCAGGCTCGTTCTGTGCTGGGAGAACGGGCAGAAGCAGGAGGGAAGATGCCCTCTCTACTGTTGTGCTGCTCTCCTCCTCTGTAAGCGCCCTCCAGGCCCAGATTTCCTTCTCTCTCTCTCCTCCAAGTCTCCATTCTGGAACTTTCCATAGGGTCTGCGCAATAAACATACACAAGGGCATCTTTCCTGAAATGTCCAGGACACATTTTCCTCCAAGGGTTCTAGAACACTGAAAAAGCCACGATTAGCTCGCAGGTGCTCCTCTTTCTTTCTTCCTTAAGGTTATGCTTTTTTTTTTAAAGGGAAAGACATGGAGGTGCCTGAGGGACTTAGCAGGGAGGATCTGGATTTCCAGTCTGCGTCCCCAGAAACACCAGCACTAACTGTCCCTCAGACAACCTCAGGCTATGGGCCTGCCAGCGGTGACCAGCGGGCTACCGAAGCCTGGGAGTGGGAGTTCAGTTCTCCTGTGGGTCGGGGGACAAGGAAACACAGGGGCTTCACTATTGAAGAGTGTGGGCCGATCCTGGGCCCGAGGAAGAAAGCAAGCAGGTGCGTGGGAGGCAAGTCTGGGCCCCCTGATGTTTAGCAGAGGGTCCCAGCCCTTTGCAGCTCCTCTCGTCCTCCAGGAAGCCCGCTACAGGGACAGACAGGCTTCTCTCTCACCTTTGCGCACTCAAGGCCAGCTCAGCACCGGACACTTGGTAGACAGACACTTTAATATCTGTGCACCTAGAACCTCCCCAATTTTTCCTTGTGGCTCATCTTTATGCTTCATTTCTCACCATCCATGGTGGCCGAGGATCCATTTATATTCACAGGTGACCCACCATATAAAGGGTAAAAAACTAAACAAACTTCTACTCACACATAATCATAACAAAAGATCTGCATGAGAAAGAAGACTGAAGCAAGTGACAAAATCACGCTCTCAGATGACAGCCGGTTTCATTCATCCAGTTCCTACAATTTTTCAAACATGATTTTCCTACTTCTCTTGAATTCCATCATACAAAACTGGTGGATGAAGTGTCTTTCCATGCACTACGGAGTGGAGACATCAGGGTGGAGCGAGTCCACGGGAACCTACGGACTCTGCTGCGGTCTCTCCTTCTCACCGAGGAGCCGTTCCCGCCGCCTCTTGCCAGCACGAGGTGAAGCTCGGGAACGCACATTCACTCACCCCCACGTTCTGGAGACCCACTCTCGCACTCACAATATTCACTTCTAAACACAGCACTGTCCTACCAGCACCCCAAACCTTAATCAAACGTTTTGCCCTGAGAGACCCTAAGTGTTAAAAATTCCATAGCCTTAATTCTGCTATATACAAAGAAAGCCCCTGAGGTAGGAGGAGGAAAACACTACTGTAAATAAACGCTGTTCTCCCTACATCCGTGGATTCCAGCGAGAACGTAAGGACCCGGGGGCCCGCCGCCGCTCACCTAGTATGGAAGTTCTGAATGTTCACATTTCTATAAGGAGCGGTTTTCCTTTGACACCAAAGCAGCAGACCTTCTTTGGCAGACGTTTCTGTAACGATAACCAAGAAAAAAATGTCCACAAGGAAATATTTGCCACTTAATTCACTCAACTCCTAGTCACTTTCTGAAGAGACCTCCCGGGGGGCCAACAGCCAAAGGCATCATCATCTCTTCTCGTAGTCTCTGCAAGAGACCGGGAGCTGGAACCCTGCTCCCAGTGACTGACTGCTGATGACACTGAGGGACTTGGAAAGGACAACGCAGGAGCAACTGTTAAGTTATGACATAATCAATACAAAACCAGACTTCAGGGCGGTGGGTAGCTTACCCGGTTTAATGAAAAATTTAAAAATGTGTATAGTTTATGACTTAACTAACCAGTCATTCATCTCACTTATGATTTATATTCTTAGGTAAATGGAAATCACAGAGGCCACTATGTCTCAAATTTGTTCCCTTACCCAGTGACTTTTACAACACTTAAAGGCTCTTTATTGGTAAATTTCAAGTTTGGCCATTTGAGCTTTCACCAGGGTAACAAAACAACAACGCCCTGTGGTAGCCATGAAGACGTGCTGGTCAGACGTCCTGCTGCCGGGAGCACAGGACAGCCACTGATGTCCCAGCTGCTACACTCGGAATCCACCCCTGCATTCCCCAAAGGCCATATTTCCTCAGGGCTGCTCCAGCCAAAGACTGAACAAGGGAGGGGCTAGACCTGGGCCATTCCTGCCACATGTGGGACTCCTCTGAGAGCAACTTAGGCGTAAGGACTCCCCATCAGCCGGGCTGAACCAGCCTGAGGACCGCACTGCAGAGCGAGACTCTTCCTCCCCGAGCCCTCCCTGCCCCTTCTCCAGCAGAGACTTAGCGAAGTGCTTTGGCCTGAAGGCTTTCACAGCCATCTCCTGCGCCTGACCCCTCATCCTCCAGGCACTTCCTCCAACAAAACTCTCGCACTTCTGTTGTGGACTGAATGTTTGTGTCCCCCCAAAATTCCTATGTTGAACCCTAACCCCCAACGTGGCGGTATTTAGAGATGGAGCCTTAGGGAGGTTAGAGGAGGTCATGAGGATGGGGCCCTCATCATGGGATTAGCCCTTTTAAGAAGAGACAAAAGAATGCCAGCGTGCTGCATATTCTGTCTGTCTGTCTCTCTCTCTGCTATGTGAGCACACAGTGAGAAGGTAGCCATCTACCAGCTAAGAAGAAGGTCCTCACCAGAAACCGATTATGCTGGCAGCCTGATCTTGGACTTCCAGCCTCCAGAACTGTGAGAAATAAATTTCTGTTACTTAAGCCACTCAGTGTGTGGTATTCTGTTATGGTGGCCCAAACAGACCAAGACAGCTTCTAATACCATCTTGGCACTTGCTTCTTGGAGGACCCAAAGTTACATACCTCCAAACAGCTCCTCAAAGGGACCTATGCAACCTAGGATTCTGCCTGTATTTAAATGTCAACAATTTAGAAAGCCCATATAAACATGTGGACTCTTAACTAACACTGGGCCCTGGCCTTCCATTTTATTAAAGGCTCAACACTGATTTTTTCAAATCGAAATAAGTCTTCCGTCATTATTTATCTAAAATGTCTGTTCTTGTTCCGACTTTTCTTTGACCCATAACCCAGATGAAATAAACACATCCCCTAAATTTTATGTGCTAAAAGAATATTTGAATGATTCCTGTTCATGTCTCTTATCTAGCAAATTCTTGATAATAAAAAAGACTGAAAGTTCTAAGACTTCATTAAAAGATTAATTGGTATAGATGTTGAAATAAGAAACTCCATATCTACTTGTTCTGCTATATACATAACTGCCTACCTTTGGGGTCCTGGCCAATGTTATTAATAAGAAAAAGCACATGAGGAGGAAATAATGTACCATATTTTATAAAGTTTAAATGAAACTTAGGTTAGAAAAGTAAACAGAGGTACAGGAGGTCAAGAAAATCCTGTGACTGAAGTTTAGGTTTACAAGATTTACAAATGGAGTTTCACCTAATTTCTATCGGAACATGTCTGAACACTTTTAGGCTATGAATGTCGAACAACGTTTTCTCCTTATTTAACTGGCTATTCTAATCAAAGCTGAGTCTCTCCCACCCCCAAGTCCCTTTTGAAGCTTTCAGTAAAGAGGCTGCAAGCCTGTGTCAATTACGTATGTGACTGTGGTAGGCCCCATGCCCTGCAGGTGTAGGTGAAATCTGAAACATGGCCATTTGGCGCACACATACGTCCGCACACCAAACCCTGATTGTGGGTATAAAAGTAGGGAGTGTCATTTGTCATTCCATCATGAAAAACCTCATGACCCACCAAGGAACCCCATCTACTTCCATCTGGACTGCCCTCGTCAACAGACACATTAATCTCTCATTTTTCTCTCATGGAACAGACCCACCATTCTGTTGAAGGAGACTGGCTCCTCAAAGAATTCAGTTGTAACAACAATGTCTTTTCCTACATCATATACTTCACTAAGGCAAATTAAGATGATTTTTCTGTAGACTTACAGAAACTAAGCGAGGTTGTTAAGAAATGAATCCATAAAACTAAAAGAAAAATATAAGTTAACAAACTAAAGTTATCTACTGTGTTGGACACTGAAAGATGTCTGCTTGAAGAGATTTAAGTACTTTGCTAATGAAATGACCACTTATGAATGTTTAATTTCTTACTTTTTTGAAAAGTACATTAATGTACCTTTTTATTGTGATGTTTTACAAAATACTGTCATTTGATTACCTTATTTTGGGCACATTAATAATTTAGGTGAAAATCTCTAATGGATTATACCATTCATATCTACCCTTGGAATAGAATTGTTTTAAATTAATATCATCACGAATTTGAAATTTGTAACCAATAAGAAAACAACCTGAGCACAAGTTCCTCTCCATAACATTTGTCAGAAAAGGATTTCCTAGTCCAGCACATGCAGAAGTGTGAACAAAGTTTTTTAAAATAGTATTTGTTCTTTAAAGTTGGTTCAACTGTTTAAACATTTATATTTATAAGTATACAAAATTGATAAAATTGTTACAAATTACTCTTTTTTAATAAAGCAGCAACTTTAAAGAAGCATCTTATTATTTTCCTTAGCATGAAAGGAGTGTACTTTAATAAAAGTACATTGTATGAAAGTTTTCAAATTCAGACTATTCATTAATTCAAGCTGGCGTCATTCCTGAGCCTGAATTATTGAGGTTTTAGTGTCATTATATCTTACTTTGATTTTTAGACAACATACATGGGGCGTCAGTGCTAGAAGCGGCTAGTCTAAGTGGGTTAGAAACTCCTTCAGGGCAAGTACGGCAGGCCGCATGTCATCTGGTACAACAGGAGGCAAACTGGTGATTTGTAATGTTTGTTCGTAGATTAGTAACTAAAATCACTTTAAAAGACCAGAGTCAGGGGTACTCCGTCCTGAGCAGAATTATAGACAACGCCTCCACCCTGACTACGCTGGTACTTGGTCACGTGTTAGGTGACAAAGCTGGGGGAGGCTGACTGGCTGGACAATTCAGACTGCCCTTACACTCTGCAACTATACGTTTTACGATTGGAGGGCTAAATAAGCAAATTCTAATTTTAAGAATGTCAATTTGACACTTTTCAACAGTACTGAATTTATCAAAATATTTAGGAGTACAGTGGGCGTAAAAGACTAAAGATTATCATCTTCAGTGGTGATGCCAAGGACTAGGGTTCTATTATAATAATGGAACAGTTGTTAGGCCAAAAGATATAACAACAATAGAGACATTCTGAAAAAAAAAAAAGAGGGAGAGAGAAAAGGAAGGGAGGGAGGACAGACGAACAAACGCTGATTTCAATTGATTATTTTTTTGCACCGGAAAAAAAAGTGTTTCAGCTCTAAGTCTAAAGAATTCTGTTATAGTTATGACCCTACTAGTTTAATAAGCAATAAAGAAGCTCAAAAAATGCTCATTTTAAAAAGCGACTTCTGTTCTGAACATGTGCTCCTCTTTTCCAAAATGATTCCACCCCCATGAATGGAACAGCATTGCTGGGGTCTTTTCCCATACAAATATAAAACCTGTGAAAACCAACTCACAGAACTTTTATTCACTCATGCAAATGGCTATTCAAGTTTACAAAATCCTATTCAAATTTTAATTTATAAGTTCAATTTACAAAATACTCTAAATATCTTCATACAATCAGACTTTTAACCATGTCTTTTACCTTCAACTGAAATATCCTGAATAGCAAAGCGAAGGATGATGGTCCAGATCATGCCCAGCGTCATTTTCACATTGCCATCAACAATTTCTTTAAGTAAGAAAAGACAACAAATTAGTGTAAAGATAACATAATCAGTATATAAATTTTTCCTATAAGTTTCCCATAAGTTTTGACTTCAGAGCTATTGGAAAATATATATATGGAAAGACCAGTTTATGTTTTTTTTATAAGCGTCACTGTGTGTCTAGTTATACACATGGTATTCATAACCAACTGTCTCCAGTTTCAATGAATTCTGAGTTAATAATAAGCACAAATCTTGCATATGTATAATCACTGAGCACAACCCAGGAGTTTCCAAGTTTAAAGACCAGACGAGCTAAGGTTCTAAACAATCAAGTTCAGAGAACACAGGTCCCTCCTGACCCATCCTTCCTCCAGTGCTCCCGGCTGGCAGGTCCGCGGGACTCAGTTGTGTACAACGAGAGGCAGGCTAGTTGTGGCTCCTGCCAGGATCACCAGGACCCCACCCTCCCACAGAGAATGAAGGGGCCACTTCCTTCCTATTAATTAGTTCTTATTAAGAGTCTGTGGGATGTATAAGCTCTTTCTCATTTCTATGATCTGCTTGAAGATGACGGCATTATGTCTGACTCTATTCTCTGAAAATAATCCTAGAGCCTAGTCTCCCACTCATGGTACCATTTGCTTTTGTCTCTGTACGCCCAGAGCCTAGTAGAGAGCCTGACATGAGGCGTGGACGGTAAATGGTGGGAGGGAGGGAGGGAAGATTCATCCAGCTGCAGGCCCACACCCCGCTGTGAGGTTGAGGAGGCAGTCAGGGGTATTCCCGTCACATCTCACTCACCTTCAGCCCCGATGGACACCAGTTTCACACCCTTGCTTGCTATGTAATCCAAGGCTTTGTTGACATTAGCAATTTTGTGGAATCGCATTTTCCCTCGGTCAGGTTTGGGCAGCCTTTCCCCTGCCGGATGGAAAAAGAAGAGCATAGACATAGAGAAAATAACCCCTTGATGCAGAATCAAGATGCCAAAATTTGGAGTGTGTGTTTTCCTTAAACAGAAATAGGTATCTGTTTCTTATGTGTCCTCAGCTTCTGTAAATCACAGCACAGAGGGACCACTGACCAAAAACCTCTCAAGATCAAATGGACCAGTGGAGAGCTATATTATTAAGGCCATATGCCTTTCAGATCTGCTGGGAGAGTCCGGTTTTGTCTCCAAGCCAACTCACAAATGAGTAAAGAAAGAAGCTGGTTGGTGTCCCTGGAGCACTCGGAGTTGCTGACTAGCTGTTAGAGGCAGTCAGGGTAGCCTAGTTCAAATCACAGAGGTGGCTGCCAGGGCTCATTTCAGACACCTGATTATGAAAAGATATGGATCAGGGCGGACGTGCCATCATCCTTCCCAGCCACACTGCTTCGAGGGTGATCCATTCTCTAGTGCAAAGTCTAAGGCAGCCAACTGAAATTCAGGGCAAAACATAACCCCTCTGGGATTTTAACCCATGTTTTCAGAGTCATGCTAACATATACATTGGCTTTTTGCATGAAAGACAATTTCTGGAATGTGCACTAACTGGTCTAAGAGTGGAAAGGGCAGTATGGTGGGTAGCCATATAAACGTCATTTTTTCTTCTCTTATTTTGTTTCAAGGTGGGTGGTATAAATATTATTTTAATAAGTCAATTTTAAACAGAATTCACTCTTTTTTTAGAACAGAAAAATAACTCTAGGCAGATGTTCTTTGAAAAGCTTTTCTTTGCCAATAATACCATGTTCTTGCCCAGCCAGGTTCAAATGGAACTCCTGAGGCAGTCATCTTTAAATAGATGCATATCTACTGCTTACACACAGAACAACAGGCTGGGGTATAACACCTATGGAAAATGTTTAAGACCAACCTGAGATGACTTCCAACAGCAGCATGAGCTTAAGGCCATTCCTGAAGTCTTCCTCGATGTTCTCAATCTGGGTGCCAGCTTTCCTCAGGTGGGAGTTACACCAGGCAGTAAAGGTCTGCAACAAGAACCAAACACTCCTTAGCACAGCCCACCAGCAGCCAGACCCCTCCACACAGACAACACTTCACATCCTGCACATTCTGGGGCGTCTAAGGGACTGGAGCTCCTTGGGCCTTCTAGAGAAAGCAAACAGAATTTGATGAAAAGAATGACTGGAGGCCTAAAAGTAAGATTTTAGTAAAATTTCCTTTTTAGAGACAAAAAATCATTTACTTGGTATACAACCTGAGGAATTTTTGCCTTCAGTTTAAAAAGGTGCCACATTTATATCTATGCCTTCACCTTCTGAAAAACTTTGTAGGTAAGATAGACTAAATTAGGATATGCTTACTCCCTGCATATAACAAAAATAAGCTTGCTTGCAGGATGGATGAATAATGTTTAAAGAATGTTCAAAATGTCTTACTTTAGAGCAGAGGGTGGGCGGTATTGTGTAGCAGAAAGGAGAAGAGAGGAGGGACCCATAACCACTAATTATCTACAACTAGTTTATCCTGGATGAACAACAGTTTGAAGCTAGTAACTAAACCAATTAAAGAAATTCGCAGTACAGCCAATCATTTAAATAATAATAATAATAGTAATCATGACCCCTTACTGGCATATTCCAGACCCTGGGCTAGACCCTGGATTTCAAAGACAATTAGATGCAGCCTGCCCTGGAAGGGCTCACAGTCTAGTCACGGTGACAATTACTAGGGCAAACCGCAGCGGAAAGATGAACTACATATCAAGCGGCATCTAAAGTCATTCGTTTATTTTTCAAGCTTCTTTTAACTCGGCTTCCACTTGTGCACTATTTCCTGCCAAAACCAGATTAGAAATGCTTCTGGCAGCTGCTGGCTAAGAATGCAAACCGTCCCCTTGTCTCGCAACAGCTGCTGGGCTCAAGAACAAAGTGCCCGGCACGTTACACTAGGGGAGACACAAATAGGGTTTGTGCTAGAGACGAGAAAACGAACCCCTCAGAAACAGACTGCTTCCAAGTGAGAAGACAAAAAGACAGTTTCCATTAAAATGATTTTCCTGGGTAATAAAGACGGTTTTAAAATCTCAAATTAAAGTAAAAATCACTTATTTCAAGAACTATGTGATGGTATTAAATTGAGGGCTAAAAGAAAATGGGGCATTTTCTTGGATTTACAATAATGAATTTGACCCTGAGAGCCTAAACTCATAAGTATTTCTCCTAAAACACATGTAAACTTTAGTCAGGTCTAAACAGAAGAGATCTTCTAAGCCATACATTCTAGATCTGCACCCAATCACTGTGGTAGCCACTAGCCACAAATGTAAATTAATTAAAATTACAAGACTTAAAAATTTAGTTCCTTAGCTGCATAAGCCACCTTTCAAGTGTTCAAAACTCACATGTGGCTAGTGGCTACTGGACTGGATGGTGCAGACACAGAACATTCCAGCATCACAGAAGGTTCCATTGGACAGTACTCCTCTAGAAAACAAAATTAAGCTAAAGATTATTACAAGAGTCTATTATATATGTATTTATTTATTTAATGTATTTGCTTCTTGAATAGCTAATACATGTCCTTGGTTCAAAATTCAAGTGGTACAAAAGGTTATAAAGTAAAAGGCCTCCCTCTCACTTTTGTTCCCAGTCACCCAGTTCCCTTCCCCAAAGGGAACAAACAGATTTGGTTTCTTCTGTGTCCCTTCAATGACATTCTACACAAATATAAATACACAGACACACACACCGTTTTTTGTGTGTTTAAGACAAATCATAGTATATGCATTGTTCTGCACCTGGCTTTTTTCACCCACTTAAAACATATAACCTACAGATCATTCCATACCAGTACAGGTCATTCCTTTTTATGGCTTCATAGTATTCCACGGTAGTGTCTATACTGTACTTTACGTAACTAGTTCCCTAAGGATGGACATTTAGGTTGTTTCCAGATAACTAAATTCTTACAGTAAAAAACATCCCAGGCTCCATTTTCAGCAAGCAACACTACTTTAAAAGTGTTTTGTTTTTGTTTTTCTTTTTAACTGACACTACTGAGACTAATCACATAACTAATCTTTTGGGAAAGGCACAAGAGAATAGCATGCTGTGATTTTTAAAAATGGAATTGATAGAGAAAAAATATAATAATATAAAATATTTACAGAGTTCTCTTTATGTACATCTACTGAAAAATGGGCAACAGTGCTGGTGCAGATTACCTTACCTTGTTACCATGTTATTTAAGTCCCTTCATAATAAAAGGATCAGAAGCACTTCTGGCTATCACCCCAAAGCTGCTCATGAAATCAATGCAAGCTTCCTGATCCCATTATGGAACACTGTGAAAGTCTGTGTGATACCATCTTTTCATAGGTATACATATAATGAAGGTAATTTACCATAGGTAATTATTCGGTAATGCAAATCCAGAGAATGATTTCAATCTAAAAGGTCAATTTATTTAGTTAAGTATAATGAAGTTTCCTTACTTTTAATGAGTATTCCTAACAGCCAATAAAGGTGGTGACTAACCAACTTAAATGAGAAAGAGGATCCCAACAGCTCTGTGATAATAGCTTGCAAAGAGGCCAGTACACTCTGAAAAAGGAATTCATGCTTTATTAGACTGTTTAGTTTTCATTCTATTTACAGTTTTAATTACCATGCCCTACAGAGACTGTTCCTATGCATTTCCCATCGTCCTCTGTTTCTGTGAAAAGCCTGTAATCATCAAGGAGATAGAAACAAAAGCAACAACAGCAGCAACAAAACCCCACACATATACCTGTGCTTCTTTGTGGACTTTCTTGCTGTGTGGTAGCAACATGCATCTTTCCGGTCCACGAAAACCAAATCTTGGAGAACTAAAATGGAATGAAGGTAGTCCACATGATTTTGGAGGCAGCCTCCTTGGGTCAAACCAGATTACCAAGCTCGATGTCCTTTCTTAAGAGAAACGGTGCTCTATGAACTAGACAGAGACCATCATGCAAAGAGGCCAACGTCTCCCCAGCCTACAGCTCAGCTCAGAAGCTGCCCAGTCACATCGGAGGGCCTCCAACCTCCTCTCTTCCTTCCAATTCAAACTTTCCTCTATCTCTCTCCTGGAGAACAGCTCATTCCCTGCTCTTCTACACCTAAAGGTAAATACAAATGCTTTTTGCCTCTCGAAAATAGGCACATAAAAAAACTTTCAGAGTCACACGAAGAGAACCAAGATGGGAAACCACAGAACCATCCATCTCCAGAAAGGAAAGGCTGACGTTTCTAGTCCTTTTCCCCTTTCAAAGAAGCTCACAACAAAGCTAAGGGAAGAAGTGTTCAAGTCACAGAAAGAAAAGCCAGAAAAACAGTGACAGTCACTGTCTCACTATGTCTATTCCTTAGACAATGGGAGCAAATATTAGCATATTTGCTTCCCAAAACATAAAGACTCACAAGTCACTGGACAGGATGGGCAGTCCTGTAAGTGCAGACTGGTCTTCCTGCCCATACGGATCCTTCCTGGTTGCAGGACGGAAGCTCTCCAAGCACAGGGAGCAGCAGCAGACGGCCTGAGGATGAAGGCTGTGTTCCCGTGACTTGCAGTGTTAGGTGTTCATGTGGAAAGTCTGAAGGATACTCAAATCATCAGCAGTCTCTCTTCTGTTATATTTCTGAACATAATCTAGAGGCCTAGAAAATGCTCCTCAACCCCCAAAACATGGTGGTTGAGAAAAATATCAGTTGGAGGAGTTTCCCAGGAATATCTGTTAGCAAGAATTGTGAGCCCCATTCAGTGGTGGGCAACGCCATTCCCTTGTTTGTGAAGAACTTACTAGAAAAGTCCCTAGTTGATAGGAATTATAAGACTATTATATTTCTCAAAATTAAATTATATGGTAATCAGCACAGTATGCTTAATGGCAAAAAAGTACTTATGTCCTTATTGAAACGTTGAGATAAGCTTGTGTTAATGAACCCTATGCATCTGTATTTGGTTTCAAGTTAATTAAGCGTATAGATACAACCACCTACATTGCAGACTACTCCACTGAGCGAAGGGAAAAAAGGCCTTTTCATCCAAATGAGTAACATCTGTGATTATTAATATAAAACAAGTTCACATCTCTACCTGGAAGAGATTATTACCTGGATATACAGATAAGGACAAAATAATCAATGCTGAGTCTGCCATGGTTCTCTGAGTATGAGTCCATTTCATGCTATCAGTTAATTACTAATTCTTTTAGTAATAAGGTTCTAGGCCTGTGCTGGTTCCTATAAGACTATCTGTTCAATTTACTATTCCATTTTCTCCAAACAAAAAGTCTGGTAATACAGTATCTATAAATTTCCTTTATTCTTTTTAAACCAGCTTTTTCTTTAACAATAACTACATAAAATACTCATTCCAGATCACATTGTCTGAAATGGAGACTCATTATAGCCATGGGGCTCTTCTGAATGAAAGAGAACAGAGTCTACAGATGGCTGGGACATTCAGGCGGAGCCTGCAGCATGCAGCTCGGGGGTAGGCAGCCTGACCAGCTTTTAGCTTTTAAACCTACCAATTACAAAGCAGCAGGTCTGTCAGGTCGAAAACGGTCTGGGACACTGTCAGCGTGTTCTGATTTTGAGTTTGCACATCGTTTACTTTCCTCAGTGAGTAAAGACATCAAGAGGCTCACTGTGTCGATTCCTGGCCTGCCTCTGTGGGGTGGGACAACCGAGCCCCAGGTAAGCAGGGACAGTGGTCCCTGAGAGGGAGCCAAGAGGACAGGCAGAGCCCAGTCCAGCCTGTAGCTGTGGCCCAAAACTCCGATTCTGTTCCTGACTGTAACACTGTGCGATTGTGTCCTTCATGCCCTCACACTTTCCCAACTATCAAAAAAAGGATAATAATTGTCATGATATTGTTCAAATATGCTGTTCAAAAGGTTATCAAGAGGAGAAGAAATATAGAAACCGGCCTGCCAACAATACCTCTCACAATGGTCTGAACACCCTCTCACGTAAAACCACTAAAAACCCCAACTCTC